AATCTCTAGCGGGTGTATCAAGGAAGACACACTATACTAATATGCCAGAAAGACCAAAAGAGACTAAGCCACTAGGGAGATTTAATCAATAGTATTGCTCTCCCCAAAGAAAACAGAATATGGGAACAAAATGCTCTTAAATTTGAACATATTTATTTTGGTAGTATTTTTCTTTTGATGAACATCTAGAGCTGATTTTTCAGAATCACTTTTATGTAATAATTTTTTTCCCTTTTATGTAATAATTTGACCCACTGATTTTATCAAGTCCAGCAGTTTCCTTTTTTATGCTGGCATTAGTTAAAGCATTTTCAGTATTAAAACAGCCATGCAGTAACAATATTTTAAAGTAATTCGATAACATCTGATGTGTTGGAATTTGGATAGTTTCTTTTAAAATTGTCTTCGTTTACATAATGAGAAGATAGCCAATGCATTCTCCCCCCACCTACCAAGACAGAGTCTCGCTGTGTCCCTAGGCTGGAGTGCAGTGTTGTGATCTCGGCTCACTGCAACCTCCGCCTCCTGGGTTCAGGCGATTCTCCTGTCTCAGCTTTCTGAGTAGCTGGGACTACAGGTACACGTCACCATGCTCAGCTGATTTTTGTATTTTTAGTAGGGACGGGGTTTCACCATGTTGGCCAGGATCCAGCACTTATTTTAAACATGCATCTGAGTCTCTTTTGTATCTAGTGTACATATTTTTCCCTATGTCGGCAAGCTCTAACCTAAAAGTGTTTTTGATAGATAAGAAAGGACTTCTTTAAGCATTATTCTTAGCATAAATTCCATTTCTTAGCTCTTTTCATTCTTGGTATAAGGGTCTATTTCATAAAATTATTTTAGGGTATTTTAAAGGATGCATAATTTTAGAATTTGGAGCATTTCCTAGGTAAGATGCTTTCTTCTAATCAATGACATGTTTAAAAAAATGAACAAGACAAACTGACCCTGCTAATAGAATTGAAATAACTAGGAGAGGATGGTTCTGCCTAAGATAGCCCATATTTTTTAACTTTCCTACTTTGTGTTGAGGTTTTCTAGAAGCATGTACTTCTCATATTCACTATATATATGTTCTTCATTATTGATATAATTTACACCCTAGAATTTTAGTCTGCATTCTCCTTTTAATATACTTCAACTCCAGATTTGTCCAGTTTTTCTTGGTGTACTTTCCTGTACCTCAGATGATAGGATTTTAGGAGTGGACTCTAGAGGTAATTTATCTTCATAATTCCACCCATATTAGGTGATTTACCTATTACTGGTGGACAGATATCTCAGGTCTTTGACCTCATTCCTCTGTATAATCATTCATCTTTCTACTTGACAAAAATTATGTTAGAAGTTGTGTATACTACCCTTCCTCAGAAAGGTATCAGTATTCTTTATTTCTGAGTCTGACCTTATCAGAGCTCTTAGCTCATAAATTTTTGTATAATTTAATTTCTTTAAAGTTCAGTATAAGTCTCTAAATGCCTAACAAGTTTATACTACTCATTTATTGGTAGTATTTCTAGAATTCTTTAGTATGAGAATTTTCTAATAAGGGAGTCATTATTTTAACACATCTGATCCTCTTATTTCCTCCTTTTAAAAATAAAATACTTACAATAATTACTGAATATACCTCTATTTATTTTTCTTCCTATCACTCTTTTTGAAGTTTTTGCAGTTATTGGTAAATACTGTCTCATAGATTATCTCAGCTAAACCTTATTGGTATTTAATGTTTATGAGTTCTATTTGGTCTTTATTTATATATGTCCAAAATAATGCATAACAAGCATACTTGATTTTATTAGAGGAATAGTTCATCTAAATGCACTTATTTTGATAATTTGTTATTACTTAGTAATTTCACTCTATTTTGTAATTATTACAACTGCAGTAAGTGCTAGCTAGCATAAGCTATATGTAGTATTAAATTTTATGTTTACTCATTTTCTTGCTATGTCGTATATTTAATTTTATGATAGGCTCATATATCTTTCATTTGGTTAGAGAGGATATTTTCTTTCATTTTTGAAGATAAGCCTCATTGCTTTCTAGTAAATGTGACTATTCAAATAGTGCCTTCATCTAAAATTTTGTCTTTGAGATTTGTTACTCATAAATACTTTGACTCTTGTTTAAAAAGATGAAACTCTTTTCTTTTGATTGGCTTAGTTAATCATGTCTTATATTTTAAAACCAGTTAGGATATTTTTGGTTATATAGAGAGGTAAAATATTTTCCTGTTTTGTATCATCAACTGTTTGGAAACCTGGTCTTGGAAAACCTCGTCTGCAGTTCATAGGTATGGGTGTTTATTGTTTGAGAAACCATTAATAAATAGAGAGTTGGTCTTTTAATTGTTGAGGTTAGAGGCACCTTTTCTAACTGGTTCATGAGTAAGGCAGATATTTTAATGCCTTCTTTAATAAACAGTTAATCAAAATATTTTTCTTTTTTTTGTGATATGATTGAAATATACTTTCATTTTCTCCATATAAAAGTCACTTTGGAGTTAAACAGATGCCTTATACCAAGAAAATTACTACTGTCTTGCCATATTTACAATGAAATGTGTTATTTAGGACACACAGGCATCTTCATTATGATTGCTAGTTTTTATTTGCTTTTTTAGAACTTTGTAAGTTTCAGCTGTTCCCAAATATTCTTTTAGAGATCTACTAACTGTAAATGTGGCAACACTGGTAAATAACATGGGTCTAGGGTTGATCAATCCTACTTGCCCCCCAACCCATACCCCCAAAATGAAAAAAATATGCAGCAAGATTGTTTAAACATCCCATGAAGGATACAATGCATAGGAACATTGATCAGATTTCCTTTGAAATTGCTAAATTGGACCACTTTCAAGACTCCACTGTACTACTGTCTACTTAAAATTTTAATCTTAGACTGTTATTATACTTCTGGAAACATTTATTAGAGTAGATTTACAAAGTAGTTGCTCTTTTTTCTCTCTTACCTTCTGTAAAATTTTGAGTGAACTGAGTTAAAAAATCATTTAACGACACATGGCTAAGGCAGTTTCAGTACCTTAATTTTTAGCTTTGGATGCAAAAGTCCATTTAGATGTGTACTTTGTTCATGTGGTTGGGTTTTTTTTTTTTTGAGACGGAGTTTCACTCTTGTTACCCAGGCTGGAGTGCAATGGCGCGATCTCGGCTCACGGCAACCTCTGCCTCCTGGGTTCAGGCAATTCTCCTGCCTCAGCCTCCTGAGTAGCTGGATTACAGGCATGTGCCACCATGCCCAGCTAATTTTTTGTATTTTTAGTAGAGACGGGGGTACACCATGTTAACCGGGATGGTCTCGATCTCTTGACCTTGTGATCTACCTGCCTTGGCCTCCCAAAGTGCTGGGATACAGGCGTGAGCCACCGTGCTCGGCCTGTGGTTGCTTTTTTATAACACTTTATATAATTTTTATTTGCCTAGGAAAACACTGAAAAATAAAGACTTGAATCCTGAATATCTATCTACTTATAGTATGGCTACTGGTGCCCTTATGGTAATCTGGAGAAATAGTTACATTCTTTTTTCCTTTTGAATTGTTTTAAAGTAGACTCGCAATCAGTCACCTTCCTCTCCTATCTTATCATCCTCTAACTTTCTTCACACTTGAAATATAATTCTGTTTCACTTGTGATTCATTTTCTTTCTTTTATGATAAGTTTTTGTGTGTATTAAACATTAGATAATTTTACTAATTTTATCCAATATGGTTACATTTTTTAAAAAGTTATTTTCTATTATTGTAACCATCCAATACAGCATTAATAAGCACTGTTGCACACATTTCTTCTTTTTAGTAAGCCAAAGGGTAAAGCTAGTTTTCTTTTTGAGGCAATCCCATTTGTGGTATTGTATTAACTTCTTAGGTCAAGTCCTTTCTTTTATAGATGTAGTTTCTCTTTTTACTAAAATGCAAACCTTCCTTGAGAAACCAGTTATTCTTCTTCTCAATTTTAACTTACTTCTGTATTTGGTGAACTGTACATCCATTCTTATGCCAGATTTTTAATACTAAAGAAAGAAAGTTGCCACCTTTCTCTTTTCCAAGCATTTCCTGGGATATTACTAATAAAACTCAATTCGTTCTAGATCAGTGGATACCGGAACAGAAAGGAGGTATTTCTTACCTGATAATGTGTGTGTGTTCCGATTCTGCTAATCCAGAAATCCAGTAGCATTTGTTGAAAATCATCCTTAGTTGTTAATTTGTTAGGGAGTCAACTCCCTATTTTAGTTGTTTCTAAAATTCAGACCCTAGATGTGCTTTAGATAGGGTAGAATTTTTACCTCTTTCAGAACACTGCTAAAGAAGTTTTCAACTGGAACGTAGTCTGAAGAAGCACTGAGAGCAAAAAATTCAGAGTGGTGATTGGCCACCTCTGTTTGATTGACAGGTTGCAGGGAGGAAACCCATTCGTTCTGGATTAATGGAACTGGAAAACAGAAAACAATTATCAGGTAAAAAAAACCTTTTCTTTAACCTTTGAAATTCACCATTTAAAAGATGAGTCAGACTACCAGGGAATTTATTACCAAAAAGAATAAAATCTAGTGTCATTTGAGCAGTGATCTCTGGCTCCTACTTCCAAGAGTTACCAAAAAGTCGGTACAGTTGCTACATGTCAGCTTTTACAGAAAGGGCATGATTGAATGGAGGTAGATGGAATGTAAGACGTAATTATGTGTTAAATCTGAGTTTAAAACATGAATCAGAATTCTGTGGGTGGGGGAGATTGGTATTCTTTTATTTCCTGAATTGTGTTTGGTCTGTGGATAGAGTATTTTTCAAGGCTATTAATCTGGCACTTTTCATGAATATTCATAAATTTTATTATTGTACTATGTTTGTTTTACTTAATCTTTACTTCATTAGGATGTATACTACTTTTATCATAAAATTACTATAATGATAGTGACCAGTTCTTTACATTTTAATGGCATTTTTCTTATTGTTGGTTAAATATATTTCAGATTGAAGGCCAAGGACATGGTGCAGTATTTGACTGCAAATGTTCTCCTGATGGTCAGCATTTTGCATGCACAGACTCTCATGGACATCTTTTAATTTTTGGCTTTGGGTCCAGTAGCAAGTATGACAAGGTACAGTATGTTGACTATACCTTATGTCCTTATTTTTTTAATGCATGTTTAGGGGTTGTATTTTTTTGGAGTGGGTGAGAATCATCATTTTTACATTCAGGATAAAATTTGAAGAATTTTATGTTAATTAGTCTGGAGACCTTAGTTTTGGAAAGGAAGGTGAAGACAGCAGTTAAATCTCACTTTATTAGGGCTTATTATTTAAAAATCTGCATATTTCAGAAAAAAAAAACTTAGCCTGCTGGAGAAATCTAGATTGGAATTTTTAACATGGGGTATATAAGCTGGAGTTGGATGATGTTTTTCATAGTGGGACTTTGAAATGTAAAATGTTTTTTTTATATAGGTAATATGTTCTTATCTAGGATACCAGTCTGTGGCTTTCATATGTTTCTTAAAAATGTATTATATTAACTGCTTGTAGCTAATGTTTTTTGTTAAAGATCCTGTCCAGATTTTTCGGGGTTTTTTTTTTTTTTTTTTGCAGGGTTGGGGTGAAACGTCTCATTATGTTGCCTAGACTGGCTTTGAATTCTTGGTCTTAAACAATCCTCTCATTTCAGCCTACTAAATAACTATACCTGGCATTACAGGCCTGTGCCACTGTGCTCAGCAGTTAAAAACCCTGACTTTAAGATTATTGACTAAAAGAATTAAACTGCTTATTTATGTTAGAATGGTATAAAAAATTATGATAGTAAATATTGAGTGGTTTATCATTTAGTTTAAAAAATTATAAATTAACCAGTGAAATTTTACATAATAAAATTTGTGTCCAGGTTGAGTTTATATTAATAATTTTATATCATCTCAAAACATTTAGAAAAAACACTTTTTTTTTTTTGAGACGGAGTTTTGCTCTTGTTACCCAGGCTGGAGTACAATGGCGCGATCTCGGCTCACCGCAACCTCCACCTCCTGGGTTCAGGCAATTCTCCTGCCTCAGCCTCCTGAGTAGCTGGGATTACAGGCACGTGCCACCATGCCCAGCTAATTTTTTGTATTTTTTAGTAGAGACGGGGTTTCACCATGTTGACCAGGATGGTCTCGATCTCTTGACCTCGTGATCCACCCACCTCGGCCAAGATGGTCTTCATCTCTTGACCTCATGATCCATCAACCTCAGCCCCCCGAAGTGCTGGAATTACAGGCGTGAGCCACCACACCCAGCTAGTGGTAGCTTTTTTATGTAGTAGTCTCCCCTTATCCACAGAAAATATGTTCCAAAGCTCCCAGTGGATGCCTAAAACCTTGGATAGTTCCAAACCCCATGCATACTATGTTTTTCCTATACATTAGTAGGTGGGTAGCATATCTAGACAGTGTGGATATACTGGACAAAGGGATGATTCATGTCCCAGGTGAAATGTCGTATTATTTCATTATGCTTTTTGGAACAGTGCACAGTTTAAAACTTAAAAGTTGTTTATTTTTGGTTCAGTATTTTAGGATTCAGGTTGACCACAGGTAACTGAAACCATGGATTACAAATAAGAGGGGACTCCTGTATATAATCACTTCCTTGTTTGAGGGAAAATTTAAAGCAGCTACTTTTCTGATCATAATACTTAAGGTAGAAAATAAAAAGACCTGTTTACAATTAATTTAGGAAAATAAGATGTTTTAAAAATTGTTGCTGAATACCATGATTTGTATTCAGATGTTTGCTTTCTATTAGAAATGTTGTAGGTTTTTTTCTACAATGATAAATTTTTGTTTTTCCAGTCTTTTATGGTCTTTTCTTTTTACAGATAGCAGATCAGATGTTCTTCCACAGTGATTATCGGCCACTTATCCGTGATGCAAACAATTTTGTATTAGATGAACAGACTCAGCAAGCACCTCATCTTATGCCTCCCCCATTTTTGGTTGATGTTGATGGTAACCCTCATCCATCAAGATATCAAAGATTAGTTCCTGGTCGTGAAAACTGCAGGGAGGAACAACTCATCCCTCAAATGGGAGTAACTTCTTCAGGTAGGTGCTCATTTTCTTAGACAGTCAAATTTTCTTCTTCCTACTCAACTGTTAAAATTTCTAATTGAGTAAAACTTTGTTTTCATTTGTTAAGTGGATGAGAAGTAAAAGTATTGTTTTATAGTTCTGTACAGATCTTTGATCATACTTAAGGATTACAAGTTAATTAAGGAATGTTGGAGATTTACAGCAATAATTTTGATTTATTATCTATTTGTAATCCCTAGGGATTAATAAGGTAGTTCCTGTATTTGGTGTGAAACAAGTCAGTTTGTTCATTTATTCAGCAACATTTATTGATAATCTCTTTTGTCTCTGACACTGCTGACCCATGGCTATTCAGCAGTGAATTAAACAAACATGAATCTTGCTTTCATGGAAATGGGTTCGTAGATTGATACACACAGTTTATTAGAATAAACAAATACAAAGTTCAAATTGTAATCAATGTTATTAAAGGGAATAATAGTATGACGTGAGAGAGATTGTAGATGGCCTGTTCACATTGAAGATGTTTTAAAAAGTGATCAACTTTTAAAGATTTGTAAGAAGTAAGATTAAGATGAAAAGCGTTCAAAGCTGTTTTGGTAAAGTATAATGGAGTGTTGAAGAACTAAATGAGAGTCAAAATGCAGTCAGAGTCTTCACACTGCTCTCCCTCTTTTGACAAGAAATGTAGCGCTAGTATATTAAGTAAAAATAATGGAAAGGTTCTGTAAAGAAGGTTAAACCAGTTGTGTCATTATGAATACTTCTATGTTTTTAGACTAGAAAAATATTGATGAAAATACTTTAAGTTCTAGACTTTAATTGACAAAAGCTTCTAAGTAGTTTTTGTTTTGAGTGACTTTTACATAATGAAATTAGATTCTGTAAGCAGCACAGAAAAAAATCAATCTCAAACCTGCATCTTACTTTTCCTTAAAGGATTTAGCAAGAAATTGCAATGAGGATGGACCTATTGGATAGAAAGGACTGCTGTTTTAGACATGTCCACTTAGAATGGAGGGTGAGAAGAAGCATTAGAAGAGTCATTCCTGTGGTTGGTCATAGAGTAGTCCAGTCCAGTGGACTTGAGTATCTGGAGTTTGTGAGATTAATATGTCTCAGTACATGGACACAGCATGAACTCAAAGAATAAGTAGTATTTGAGAAGTATGGGCAGATACTCAGATAAATTTCAGTATTAGAGAAGTTCCGGTCATAGGACTGAAATTAAGAGAAATGTCTTCATTCTCTTGGAAAGGAATTGGCAAAAATCAGATTGTGCCCAGGCCTCAAAATAGATAGATACTTGAGGTTTTTAGACACAGGGAAATAAGGAAAAAGCTCATTTATTAAAGTATCAGTGCTGTTTAATTATTACTTTTAAAATCGATTTACTAGTTTATAAAGGGCTTTCATAAACAATATCTTGCCTTTATGATATTCCAATCCTGCAAGTTGAGAGAATTCAAAACTTAATAGTATTGTTTCTTGGAATCACAGGGACTCCAACCTCAGCTCTGATTCTTAGTCTTTTCTTCCATATAAAGTAGGCATAATCTTAAAAATGAAGTAAATGCCAGTTACTGGTATCCATAAGAGAGCCCACAGCAATAATAATGGCTTTGTAATGAGTCACAAATTTTTCACTGTTCCAATTCTCACAATTCAGAGTATCAATGTTTTTGTCATATTTTAGACTTATTGAGTATAAAAATGGTCAATATAAAAATAGAACGAACGCCAAATGCTTTTCAAAAAACCTTAGCTATCTAGATAATAAAATGCATTTTGGGAAATCTCTCAGAGATAGGGAAAAATAAATTTGAGCTATTCTAATAATAAATTGGCATGTTAATATTGACACTATACAACATACTTTAAATGTGTTTTTTTTTTCAGTTGTACACTGAGCTATACCAGATTATTCATCAGTATTCCAACATGTTTTTTTTAAACAGCAAACCAGGAAAGAAGTATGAGACATTTGAACTTTTACCTGTCTGCTTTTACCACTTCCAGCTTGATGACTTTGAATAAGTTATTTTATCCTGTTGAATTTTAGTTTTCTCTTATAAATGAAATAATGTTATGCACTTAATACATGCAAATTCCTTTTCCTTTTACCTGTCTTACTACTACTTTATTACAGAATATCTTTGCTATCTTATCTTACTATTTAAGCCCACCCTAAAATTCTGACCTGATCAGATCTTCTCATATACTTAAATGGCTGATACTAATTGCTCCCTTCTTTATACTCATGCAGTATTTTTTATATATTTCATAACACATATTTAAAAAATTTATTCAGCAAGAGAATATTTTTTAATGGCTAGCATTGTATTAGATTTAGATAATATTAAGATAAATGAAACAGTTCATGCTTTTGAGGAACTAACTAGTTTGGGCTTCATTTATGTTTTATATTGGTCTGAGTACTTAGATATGTTTTGCCTGTTTAAGGAGTTGAGAGAAGGTAACAGCTAATTCTTTCAGAAGTAGTTGGGAAAGATTTCAGAGAGAAAATATCATGGAGGTACAGTTATAGTTGGTGATTGAATGGTAAGTTAGAGATTATGTTTATCCTTTTAGTGGGAATATTGTCTTCAAAAGTTTCAGTTCATGAAGGTGTTTTTGTGTTAGAAGGGCAGAAGTCAAGTGGTCCTGTATGAATGGTACGAGTAAGAATTAATGCTGGAAGAGTTGGATGGTTTAAAATACAAATTTCCCTTCTTCACAGCCTTTATACCTCTTGCCTGCTTTCTGAAGTGTTCCTTATCTAGCTTTTTACATGACTAGCTAATTTAAATCTCAGTTCAAATGTCACCTTCTCCGAGAAGGCTTCTCTGATTTTTCTGACCCACTATCATGTTCTTTATTTCAACACCATTCTTTCATACTCTGTATTAACTATCGAGTTTTTGTTTACTTTCCCCGTCAGAATGTTAGCTCCCTAAAGGGCAGGGATCTTCATGTCCTTTATTTACCACTAGATCTGCAGTACCTAGCATAGTTTCTTAACGTATAGTAGACAAGTCAATTTATTGAATAAATGAGGCAGTAATTTTTTTTAAGAAAGTGAGTAATCAGATTTGTAATTTTAAAAGAAACTATGATCTAAGTAGAAAACCTTACTTTTTCCACTTATTAGATGTGTGACTTCAAACAGTTATTTTGGTTTTCTCATGTATAAGGTAGAGTTGTTTAAACATACCTAATGGAGTTACCATAAGTATTATGAGTATCTGAATCATGATAAACACTTAGTAAAAGTTAGCAATGATCCTCATTATTATTTTCGATAAACTAAGATGGACAGATTTTTTTCTTTATTTTTTTTTTTCTATAACTCCCATCATTTGTGGTTGATCATTTTAGGTCTTTTACTCAAGCAAAATTTATGTTTAATTCTGAACTAATAAGTGAGGTTGGTGAATAAAGTGGTTGGAATAGTAACTAAAGTATTCTTAATATTTTGTGTGGTATTGCATAGGACTGAATCAAGTTCTAAGTCAGCAAGCAAACCAGGAGATCAGCCCACTGGACAGCATGATTCAAAGACTACAACAGGAGCAAGACCTAAGACGTTCTGGTGAAGCAGGTATCAGTAATACCAGCCGTTTAAGTAGAGGTAAGCAGGTATTCTATTTTGAGTGAAACATTTAGAAATTTGCAACAGCCTAAACTTCCCACAGTGTTAAGTGAATAAACAAATGAAGGTACATCCATAAAATGAAATATTAGGCTGCCAAAATGATCAGGGTTTTGAAGATTATTTAACAATCTAAGAAAATGCTTCATAATGAGTTTTAAGTTAGAGATAGTAAGTTTTTCAATGTGTGTATTATTCCACATTTTCAATAGTAAATATGTAGAGTAGTCAAAGCCACATTCTTGAACATCTCATCACCCTTATTGTTGTACATTATTAAACTTTAAGAATCAAAACGTATTTATGAACTGTAAATATTCTTGGGTTTTTGTGTTTTGATTCTTATGATGTTTTCCCAAAAATATCTAGTTTTTTTTTTTTTTTAAAGTAATGATTTTATATCCTTGGGGCTTAATAGTCCATAGTTATGGTTCATTGACTTATCTAATCAACTGAATAACCATGTTTTGTTTTCATTAAACTTTTGCCTGTGATTTAGTTCCTGATACAGTAATTTAATTATTTGCCACAATATGAAGTTTCATGTGGAAGACAGTGTTTTTTCTCTTTTTTTCTGCTATAAACTAATGAGGAAATATCTCTAAGTAGAACTTAATATACTAACTTTTTCACTTAGGTTCCATAAGTTCTACCTCAGAGGTTCATTCACCACCAAATGTAGGACTAAGACGTAGTGGACAAATTGAAGGTGTACGGCAAATGCACAGCAACGCACCAAGAAGTGAAATAGCCACAGAGCGGGATCTTGTAGCTTGGAGTCGAAGGGTGGTAGTACCTGAGCTATCAGCTGGTGTAGCCAGGTAAGGGAAGTTGTGAATTTTTATGTACCATAGTTCATTGTGTTCATTTTGAGTTTGTTCAAAGCATAATACCTTTTCAGCTCTGTAATTGCTCTGAAATTTATCTGGAAAGGTAGTATGAATTATTCTGACTCTGTAGAAAAATTAAGTTTCTAAAATAGTGATTTGTGTAAATGATAAGAATGGTATGTGTTAGCAGCAGGAAAATGATACATTTGGATTGACTAAATAGAAGGTTTTATTGAGTAGCATATTTCAATCTTGATTTGTCCGGTTTATATCTTAAAATACATTTTATAAAGTTTGTTATAATTTTTTAATTCTTTAAATGGATTTAGCCAGCTATTCACATGGTATTCAAATGCAAAAAAATTCATTAATTGGAAAATACAAAAAATATTTTATATATTAAAATATTTATATTTAAAAGTATACGTTTATGAATTTAAAAGTATTGATCTAATAAAGTTCTATTCTCTCTTTTTTTTTTTTTTAAGACGGAGTTTCACTGTTGTTACCCAGGCTGGAGTGCAATGGCGCGATCTCGGCTCACTGCTACCTCCGCCTCCTGGGTTCAGGCAATTCTCCTGCCTCAGCCTCCTGAGTAGCTGGGATTACAGGCACGCGCCACTGTGCCCAGCTAATTTTTTGTATTTTTAATAGAGACGGGGTTTCACCATGTTGACCAGAATGGTGTCAATCTCTTGACCTCGTGATCCACCCGTCTCGGCCTCCCAAAGTGCTGGGATTACAGGCTTGAGCCACCGCGCTTGGCCAAAGTTCTATTCTCTTATACCATGCCATGAGGGAACTTTATATCCAGTTCCTTTTTATTCTTTGATCATGAAATACTCATGAATGGGACCTATATGAACCTAATTAATGCTGATTTCTGTGCATGAAGTATGTTCTAAGTATGAAGGTCAAAATGTGAATTTGAATTTAAGATTTTCTAGTTCTTAAATTCAGAAGGTAATAGTTATTACATAATTAAAATTTTTTCTTAATGTTTATATAGATTATGCTTTTTGATTGGACATACTTTGAATTTATGTTAGGATTTAGAATTAAATATACACCAAAGGTGTAAATTTATACTTTCTTATGACAAATATGCTCTGTTATCCTTCATAAGTTAATTAACTCACATGGTGTATTTTTAGTTGAATTCTTGTTTGCTTTTTAATTCTAATGTTAAGGTTTGAAAGAGGTCAAGTAAATAGTGCCCAGTTTTCAAACCAGTTCTGGAATAATTGAAAAATGGCTTGGAGAATAAGACACATAGTAAATCAGTAAATACTATTTTTGTTACAAAAAGTAATATTCCCCAAAACTGCATCAGTAACAAAAAGTAATATTCCCCAGAGGCACATAGCAGTGGGTCACAGCTCCCCTTATAGAACATGTGATTTGCTTCTTAAAGATGCAGGGCAAAATTTATACATTGCACACAGTGGCATAAGGCTGGACCGTGCTAAGCTGGGTTTTTCTTCCAGAGCATGTCAATTGACTAATTTATTCCTCCTCTAGAGAGTAATGAATCAGGAGATATTATTACTAGTGGATGGTTGGACCCCTGCACATCGAAGGGAACCTGAGGAGTGAGGAAGATTTGCTTCTCTTAAATATTCTTCATCCTTTTATTGCTTTATCATTGGGCTTAACTATTCATTGACCCATGATCAAGCAAGGCTGTGGCCATAACTTTAACAGATATTCTTTCTTTGGGCTTCCTAGAGTGTTGTCTCTCAAACTTAGTACTCATCCTATGGGAATCTTCCTGAGAATCTCTCCAGTGGGTAGTCTAAAAGACTCTGAAATGGGTCCTTATAGTCCATTAATTAAAATGAAATCCAGTGGCATATCCAATAGTGGGCTAGGTAACATAGAAATAATTCTTGGAATTCAATAGTAAACAACAGAATTCAACCAGAGAATGGGGAGAAGACATGAACAGACATTCACCAAAGAGGATAGATGGCAGATAAGTACATGAGATCACCCATGTCATTAACCATTGGTGAAATAGAAGTTTAAACCACAATGAAATTTCACTCTATTCTTTTCAGAATGGTTAAAATATAAAATAGTGACAGCACTAAATACTAGAGAGGGTGTAAATACTAGAGAGGGTATAAATACTGGAGAGGGTATAAATCTACTAGAGAGGATGTAGAGAAAACTGAATTACTCATGTATTGCTAGTGGGAATGCAAAATGATAGAGCCATTTTGGAAGACAGTTTTGAACTTTTCTAAAGTCCTCATCATGTAACTGCCTTGTCATATGACCCAGCAATTGCACTTTTGGGGATTTATATTTATTCTAAACAAATAAAAACTTATGTTCACGCAGAAACCTGAACATAAATGTATAGCAGCTTCATTTGTAATGGCCAGAAGCCAGAAAGATAATAGGATGTATTTCAATGGGTAGATGGTTAAACAATGGTATATTCATATGATGGACTACTATGCAATAAAAAGGAACAACATACTGATACAGTGTGTTTGAATCTTGAGGGAATTATGCTGAGTGGGGAAAAATAATTTCAAAGTACATTCTGTATGATTCCATTTATGAAATAGTGTTGAAATGGCCAGGGTAAAGGAATGGAGAACAGACTGAGGTTGCTAAGATACAGGTATACTTTGGGGATATTGGAGTTTTGATTCCAGACGAGTGCAATAAAAGTAGCTCATGTGATGTTTTTTGGTTTTCCAGTGCATATAAAAGTTACGGTTATACTATTCTATAATCTGTTAATTGTACAATATCATTCATTATGTCTGAAAAAAACTACATACCTAATTTAAAAATTCTTTACTGCTGAAAAATGCTAACAACCATCTGAGCCTTCCGTGAGTATACTCTTCTTGCTGCTGAAGGGTCTTGCTTCGATTATGATGGCTGCTGGCTGATCAGAGTGGAGGTTGCTGAAGGTTGGAATGGCTGTGGAAATTTCTGAAAAGAAGAAAATAATAAAGTTTCCTCTATTGACTTTACTCTTTTCATGAAAGATTTCTGTATAGAACTTATTTCAAAACTGGAGTCCCTCCTCTCAGACCCTGCCATGGCTTTTTTAATTAAGTTCATGTAATTTTCCACATCCTTTGTTATCATTTCAGCAGTGTTCAAAGCATGTTCACTAGAGTAGACTCTGTCAAGAAACCTCTTTGTTCATCCATGAGCAGCTCCTCATTCGTTTGAAGTTTTATTATGAGACTTCATTTCAGTCACATCTTTAGGTGTCACTTCTAATTCTAGTTCTCTTGCTGTTTCCATTACATCTATAGTAACTTCTTCCACTGATGTCTTCAGCCTTCAGAATTATCCATGAGGATTGGAATCAGCTTCTTTCAAACTCCCGTTAATACTGATATTTTGACGTCTTCACATGAATCATGCATGTTCTTAATGGCATCTGGAATGGTGAATCCTTTCCAGAAGCTTTTCAATGTACTTTGCCCAGATCTATTAGCAGAATAATGAACTAGTGCAGCTATTGCCTTATGAAATGTGATTTCTTAAAATAATAAGACTTGAAAATCAAAATTACTACCTTGACCCATAGGCTGCAGAATGGATGTTGGGTTAGCAGGCATGCAAATAACACTAATCACCTTGTATATCTCCATCAGAGCTTGTGGGTTACAAGGTGCATTGTCAGTGAAAAGTAATATTTTGAAAGGAATCATGTTCTCTGAGTACTAGATCTCAACAGTGGGCTAAAAATATTCAGTAAACCATGCTATAAACAGATGTGCTGTCATCTAGACTTTGTTGTTTTATTTATGGAGCACAAGATGAATATATTTATCATAATTCTTAAGTGCCCTAGGATTTTTGGAACGATAAATGAGCATTAGCTTCAACTTGAAGTCGCTAACTACATTAGCCCCTAACAAGAGATTTAGACTGTCCTTTGAAGCTTTGAAGGCAAGCACTGACTTCTCTCTAGTTGTGAAAGTCCAAATGATCTCTCCTTCCATAAGATGGCTGTTTCATTTGTTAAAACATTGATCTATTGTTTAGTGTAGCTACTTTCTGCAGTGATCTTAGCTAGATATTCTGAATAAATTGCTGCAGCTACTGCATCAGCACTTGGTGCTTCACCCTGTACTTCTGTGTTACACAGGTAGCTCCTCCTGTAAACCTCATGAACCAGCCTCTGCTAGCTTCCAGCTTTTCTTCTGCAGTTTTTCCCCACCTTCCAACCTTCATAGAATGGAAGAGAGTTAGGGCATTACTCTGGATTAGGTTTTGGCTTAAGGGAATGTTGTAGCTGGTTTGATCTTTTATCCAGACCACAAAAACTATTTCCATATTAGCAACAAGTCTGGTTCACTTTTGTTACATTCTTATGTTCATTGGCGTAGCACATTTAACTTGTTCAAGAACTTTTCCTTTGCATTCAAAACATGATTGGTTGGCAGAAGAGGCATAGTGTCGGCTTACAGCCTCTCTTGGCTTTTGACATGCCTTTATCACATTATAATCATTTCTACCTTTGATTTAAAGTGAGAAATGTTTTCACTGGATCAGTTAGAGGCCATTGTAGGGTTTTTAATTGGCCTAACTTTAATGTAGCTCTGTCTCAGGGAATAGTGAGGCCTGAGGAGAGGGAGTAGATGGGGCAATGACTAGTTGGTAGAACAGTCAGAACACATGTAACATTTGTCAGTTAAGTTCATTATCCTATATAGGTGAGGTTCAGGCACTTCCAAACAACTACAATAAAAGCATAAAAAATTACTGACACCAGATCTCCATAATTAATTAATGGTAGTGAAAATGCTTGAAATATTTTGAGAGTTACTAAAATGTGACACAGACACGAAGTTAGCACAGACAAGCAGTTGGAAAATGGCCCTTGCTCAATGCAGGATTGCCACAGACCACACACATAGAAACTAATAGAAGTAAAACTGGGGAAGTCCGAATAAGATCAATGGTTTGTATAAATGTCAGCATCCTCCTTAAGATGTACCATGCTTTGTGAAATGTTACCATTTGGGGAACTGGATAAAGGATACAAATAATCGCTCTGTTATTTCTTACAACTGTATGTCAGTCTATAATTATTTCAGTAAAAAATTTAATTAAAAAAAAAACAAAACTAAGAACAAAAAATTAAATCCAAGCCTGTTTTTTCCACAAGATTTAAATCTTTTTCCACAAGATTTAAATTTGCTCATTTTATTTTCTATTCAGAATTATGACCATCCACAATGGAGATTGTGCAGTTAAGTAACATGATAACATTAATATCATCTAGTAAAGAAATATCAACAGTGTATAGTTGTACTGTGTTTTAGTATTAACTCCCTTATTATGAAATCCTTAAGGGAGAATTAAAGTTCAAATAGCCTTCCTTGCATTTCAAAAACTTTAAAGTTGTGAAATAATAAAGTCAAAGATAAATTATTTGTTCTCATGAGTTCATTTTATGAAATTTAAGCTTAAAATTCGTGTTCCTCACTTCTGCTGTTCAATTTCACCTTGATATTTAAATTTGTAAGGTGAAACCTGACCTCCCTGTTACTGGAAAGAATGTAGTTCTTTCAGAGCTTTCTTTATAATCTCAGGCTCTGTTGTATTAAATTTTTAAGAAGATTTCAGCTATCTATATGGCACAGAAGATTATCAAAGCATAGGCTGTATCATAAAAAAAAAAATTAAATTTCTCACTCTTGGAAAAATTTCCCTAGGAATCATCATGTTCCCAGAATCTAATACTTGGTTTGCCAAAGACAATAGCAGGAACCAGTAGTGTCAAATAGACCAAGTTTTTAATCATTTAATCCCAGATGTCCTGAGCCCACAACTTATGAAATTAAACTCAGAAATTTTTATCAGGTGCTTCCATCTAAAAATAAAACATCAGGAATAGCATTCCTTTGTTGATACCTAACATTCCTCCTTTTGGAGGAATGTTATGTGTAAAATTCTAGATTAACGCCTATGGCTTTTGTCTTTCAGTAGGCAAGAAGAATGGAGAACTGCAAAGGGAGAAGAAGAAATAAAGACTTACAGGTCAGAAGAGAAAAGAAAACACTTAACTGTTCCAAAAGAGAACAAAATGCCCACTGTCTCAAAGGTACATATTAATTCCTTTGATGTTTAATAATTGCTTCATAAGTATAATGACCATTTTGTAATTTAAAATGTTAATTTTGTAAACAGGGTAATTGATACAAAATTAACATAGTTAATTCTTGATTATCTCTGGACTGTCTATTGTTAACCATTAAAAATTTTTAATTCCGTTCCTGCTTTCTAGTGTACCCTTTCCCAAAGTGTCAAATCTTATATACTAATGACATCTAATAAATTATACTAAAGTCTTGTCAAGAACCTTCTTTAGCTCTTCACAACCTTGTGGGCCATCTTTGTACAGTCTAAAATAGCATTTTGTTAATGTTCGTCTATGTGCTTTTTTAGTGTCTTGCATCTATTTGTTATTCTAGATAATTAAGTCAGGTAATGCTGCTACAGATAATAATTCTCATTTTCTCCATTAAGAGAGGTAGATTTTCCCTACTAGTTTTGCCTTACTGGGTTTTCTGTCATCCTACTCTACACCAAGTAGATTTCAATTGGTCGTGGCCTAATTGGAGAGAGATTTGTACTTACAAATGTGAAGGAATCACAAGTATCCCCTTTTCCTTTTCTTTTTTTTCGGGGGGGAAAAAAAATCTTCACTTGAAAGCTTCAGAGCCTTAGAGTCTGAAATTGAGGAAGGCTATGTGAAACTTCTTTTTCAGTCCAAGTCACTATCTAAAGCAGTCATTGAAACAAAGAAAAAAAAAAACTGGACTTCTTCACCAGCTTCCTGCTCCTGTCTTTTTTTCATTTGAGTTTTTAAAACCTCCTAAATCAGTCTTCTTTTCTAGAATTTGCTTTTCTCTTTTATTACTCTTCTCTTCAAAATACTCAAGTAGTCCTTTTTTTTTAAACTAAGGGTATCACACCTTGGGATCAGTAGGACCTCACAGTGCTAGAATTTCTGTTAGTATAATAAAGGAAAATTACTTTCTGAAATAATATTGTTTTTTGGTTGGTTGATTGGCTGGCGAGTAGAAAGCATACCTTTTTTCCATCCTTTGTTGAGATAAATTTATATGATGATGATAAGAGTTTGTATTGCTTGCTGCTACCTATATGGATGGAATATATTAGTCTATTAAAAATAAAAGATGTGCTTATCTTTTAATTCATTAGTACTTTGAAAACTTTTTAAGAAATAAAAGGACTGATACCCAGTGTATACATTTATGTATATGTGTGTGCATGCACACTTACATATTTTTAGTATCTTTTGTTAAAACAACTGTAATAACTTCAGTTATTATTTATGTGGTCAGCTGGCTAGCATTTATTTTTCCCAAATTTAATGGTTAGTTCCAATTCAAGGATGTCTAATTGATTCTTTATTTATTCTGTGAGAAGACCCTGAATTTATTTCATAGATGTGATTCTCTTTTTTTTTTGGTTGGTGGGAAGACAAAGTCTCATGATGTTAACCCAGGCTGGAGTGCAGTGGGATGGATGGTCCTAGCTGAAATAACATTCATTATTTCAATGAATATTGGACTTGCTCAAGTGGCTTTCTTGCCTTGTCATCCCAAACAGCTGGGACTATAGGTTTGTACCACCATGCCTGGCTAACTTTAAAATTTTTTGACTTCACAGAGACAGGGTCTTGCCATTGCCCTGGCTAGTCTTGAATTCCTGACATCAAAGTGCAGTTCTTTCACATTGGCCTCCCAAAGTGCTGGGATTACAGGCATGAGCTCCAATAGCTGGCCCTTGTATCTAATTTTGAGTTAGCTTTATTCAGTTTCTTTGTGTGTTTTAGGTATAGATTTGAAGTTTATTGAGTTTTGTCTTCATCACTGTGTTGGACTTCGTCAGTTTTTTAGTGCTCGCTGGTTGTATTCTTATCTGCTGCAGAAGACTTCTCACATTTATTCCAGCAGAAGAAAAATAGCCCATCCATATGGCAGCTTATCCTTACAATGGCAGGGTAGCTTTATGATCCCCCTTTTAGTCTTCAGTTTGCCTGTGTCTTTTACATATACCTCACAGCCCATTGTCCTTTTTCTTACTTCTGTAGGTTTGAGGTAGAATTCAGAAGAGTTCAGTGTTTGGTCTAGTCTTTTATCATGAATCCTTATGTCTGTCACTAATTAGAAAAATCAATGTTTTTATAAATAATCAGCAAGTGAATATCAGCATACCACAATAAACCTTGATTTAACTTGATGTAATGTTAAAAATTTGAGTTGGTACTATAACCTATCCATTTAAGTTACATCTTAAATACGAACAAATGTTTTTATTGTTCTTGTATGTTAGGATAAATTATTTCATTTTGTCACCCAGGCTGGAGTGCAGTGGTGCAGTCATCCTTTGCTGCAGCCTTGAACTCCTAAGCTCAAGCAGTTTTCCTGAGTACCTGGGACTACAGTCATGTGCCACCATGCCCAGCTTGAATTTTTTTAATGTAAAAAATAAATGAACTTTTAAACAAAAATCCTACTCTTTAAACATACTGTGAATAAATTTAATTTACTTTTTTCTAGAATCATGCTCATGAGCCTTTCCTGGATCTTGGAGAATCCAAAAAGCAGCAGACAAATCAACACAATTATCGTACGAGATCTGCATTGGAAGAGACTCCTAGACCCTCAGAAGAGATAGAAAATTGCACTAGTTCTTCAGATGTAAGATATCAGCACATTCATACATTTCATTTTTACTTATTTTTAAAATATGAGTTTCATTCTTTGTATTTATTGATATGTTTGTAGTAGCTTAACTATGGCATTTTGGGGTCTTATACAGACAGCTTTTATTTTCTAAAAATCTGTTTCTAGGCATGGCACACATACACATAATTTCAAATCCACAAAATCCTTGTGAATTAATTAGTCTCATTTTATAGATAAGGATTTTGAGGCTCAAAGATACTTAGATTATATTATCACCTATTAAGAGGTAGAGCAGAGATTAAATGCAAGTTTGTTTCACTTTAAACCAAGCTTTTTAAGTGATACCATGAAGCTGTAGTATAGTGTAAGTATAACAATAAATCAATAGGCATTCGACAGTCTTTGTTAGTTTTTAATCTCTGCAAGTTTATAGCTTTCTCAGTATAATTTTAAAATATTCCTTATGCATCATTATTTCAATGAATATTGCTCTCCTTATTAAATTGTATATTATTTCAGTGAAAGCAGTTAATTTGCAATCACAAACCAATTTTATTAAGCAGTTAAACCATCTCCGTTCCTCTTTTCTTCTCAACCCTCCCCATCACCTTCCTTCCTCACAACTCAGAGGTGTAATCGTTATAGATATTGACTACTATACACTTTTGAAGCCATGTTCTGTTTTGAAATGCTAGGCATATATGAGAATTCTCTAAGTATATTCTCTTTGGCCAGGGCAACATTAACTCAAACTAAGAGTATTCTAACCACACTTTAAGTTAGTTTCCAATGGCTTTTGGTCCTCATATGGCCAGATAAAAATGATATATTAATTCTGGCAAAAACTTATAACACATTTGTTATAAGTCCTTCAAGTGTGTTCAAAACTAATTTATTTATGCTTTAATATCCTTTTAGAAATTTAGAATAAATTTTAGAGGAGTCCATTGAGAACAAAATATCACTTTGGGCAGAATAAATAATTAATTTGAAAGAATTCTGATTTTTTGGTTCAAATGTTTTGTACTTTAGTACTTTATATTTGGAATGTAGAAATAATTCTGTTTCTTTTTTCTCCCCTTTAAGGAAGTAACATATGAAATGTGGGAAAAATTATATGAGTTGCTTAGATTTATTTGTATATTGAGCAGTGATTAAGTTTAATAAAATATGCTTTTAGATTTTTACTTTTTTCATTTTTACTTAGTTTTTTGACTGAAATAAACGTTCATTAAATATGGAACGTTTTGTAACTATGAGATAAGTCTTCATTAAAACATCAAAATGGGAAAACATTTTTCCCAATTATTTTATTTAATATTAAAAGAATACACCCTGTTATCTCCTTTAAAAGTTATCTGAATGTGCCCAGCAAGTAAGTTAGCACCATTCTTACAGAATGTTGTCCAGCGTTTGGACTAAAGTGACCTGGGCTCAAATCAAGTTTTGTTGCTTATTGGTCGTGCTTCCTTGGGCAAAGTTCTCAACTTTTTAAAGCTTTAGTTTGTTTTATTTAAATAACTCTTCTTTTCACCAATAATACATTCTCAAGCCCAAATGGGTGATACATACAAAGTGCTTAGAATAGTTTGTAACATGCAGTAAAAGCTTAATAAATATGAGGTGTTATTGGAGCATAAAGTTTATTTAACTAAGGAAGATAGATAAGATTTTGACAATCAAAAACCCCAAATTTAGGCCGGCGCGGTGGCTCACGCCTATAATCTCAGCACTTTGGGAGGCCGAGGCGAGTGGATCATGAGGTCAAGAGATCGAGACCATCCTGGTCAACGAGGTGAAGCCCCGTCTCTACTAAAAATACAAAAATTAGCCGGGCACAGTGGTGCGCACCTGTAGTCCCAGCTACTCGGGAGGCTGAGGCAGGAGAATCGCTTGAACCCAGAAGGTGGAGGTTGCGGTGAGCCGAGATCATGCCATTGCACTCCAGTCTGGGTAACAACAGCGAAACTCTGTCTCAGAAAAAAAAAAACAAAACACAAATTTATGAAGAAAACGCTTTCACAGATAATATTCTTTGTTCACTCATGAATATTTACTAAGGAGAAACCAGAGTATTTGACTATTTTTTAAACTTCTACCATTTGGATAAAATGGAACATCCTTTTTTGTATGGGAAGGCTATTTTAATATGTAAAACGTAAATGTGCCTTATTTAAAGCTTCTCAAAGCACCTATAGAAAAGAAAGCTTAGTGTTTTACAAAGGCTCAAGAATTAAAAATTAATTTCGAATGTAAATATGGAGTTTAATATCATTTCATCTAGAAGATACGTTGTGAGGCTTTTAAAATGATAATCATCTGCAGGATTGCTCTGAATCCCATATTAATAAGTATTATGCCTTTATATACATTTAAGTATTCTCATTTATTTATAAAGAGGTAAAAGCTGTATTTTGCAACTAAGTTTTTAAAGAGAAGCAGCTGACTCTTATTTATTATTAATATTATTATTTTTTGAGACAGTCTCTTTCTGGAATGTAGTGGTATGATCTCATCTCACTGCAACCTCTGCCTCTTGGGTTCAAACGATTCTGTGCCTCAGCCTCCCAAGTAACTGAGATTACAGGCATCTGGCACCATGCCCAGCTAATTGTTTTTTTGTATTTTAGTAGAGAAGGGGTGTTACCACCTTGGCCAGGCTGATGTCAAACTCCTGACCTCAAGTGATCTGCCTGCCTTGGCCTCTCAGAGTGCTGGGATTACAGATGTGAGCCACTGCACTCTTTGCAACTAATTTAAATCAAGTTTAAAATATTCCAATATGACTGATATTTTAAGTTATCGTTGATATTTTCTATAATCATAAAATGTTATTTTATAAAATTATGCAATAAGACATTAAGACATGTATTCACCATATCTTAGGAAGGTGAAGTAGTTGCTGTCAGTGGTGGAACATCCGAAGAAGAAGAGAGAGCATGGCACAGTGATGGGAGTTCTAGGTAAATGAATGATTTTTATTTTTCCAAATGTTATATAAAATCTTTAGAAAGCTTATTTTTTTTAAACCAGCAACATGTTTCAAAGTCTCTGTGAGTTCAAAGTTAGTTCTTCAAAGAGTTTTTGAAGTTGTACAAAATGTGGAAATTTTCTTTCTGCTATACGTTCTCCATAGAAAATAATTCTTTGGTGATTACAGCTAGATCTGCAAAATAATGCTTTTAATTTTATCTTCTTAAATATTTTATCTTCTTAAATATTTCTTAATAAATAATTCTGAAATATTAAATATTTTATTTTCTTAAATATTTCTTCTGAATGCAGTTATAATGGTGAATCACAAAACTAGTTTCATTACTGGTTTTGAAAATTACTTTAAGGGTAAAGTTATTAAAGTAATGCAGTCTTACTATCTCATATAGTGGAATTTATGGAATACTGATGAAAGAGGAATAAACATTCCTTTTTCTTACCATCCCTACCTTATTTGACCATGCAAGTGAGGATTCCTTCAACTCCTTACACTGATGATTCACATTTTTGCAGGGCTTTTATGACCTTGGCTGACATTGCAAGGTTAGCAAGAACAGAGCATAGCCTTTGGGGATCGCAGTTATGATTAGCTGCTACATTTATACCCCACCTTAGCGACTCTTAAAATAGAAGAAACGAAGTATGAAGTAGAGGCTGTAAGAGTTGCTCTTGTCAGTTCAAATCAAGGGCTCTCCTAGTCTCACAGTAGTGATTTCTGATAATGATACACAAATGTCTGCGGTTCTATCTAGTAGTTTTCTATATTCAAAACAGGTAAGTGAAAGAAAAATTCACTTTCTTTTGGTTCAACAATAGAATCAGAGTATTTCAAACCCTGAGATGACACAAGGGTTCCTGTATTAAAAGAGTAGTGGTGGTTTTAGCAATTGAGGACAGGTGTAAAGAATGTTGGGCTCTGGAGTTTGTAATGTTGTTTATGCTGACAGCAGAAGATCTTCTGTAAGAGCCAAGTACTCCATAGAGTGATAACTGTGAGATTTGTCAGGTGCCATTTACAGAGGCCATGGCTGGGGTTAGTATAAATAAAATGCTAATAAGTTGAATACAACCTATTTTAGAATAGCATATCTGAAAATAGTTTAAGTTCTTAAAAAATCATTTTAAATTTTATAGTAAAATCACTAAATCATACTAGAAAATATCTAATTTGATTCTTACCTGGGATGATTGGAATAATCAGAGATTCAGGTACATGCTTATAATGAACATTTGGACAGTGGGGAGGAGTAGTGACAATGGAATAAAACTCAGAAAAATCTGCTTTTTCATTGTTAATGTTAATAGCAGTATTTTTTAGAGGCATGAAGCCATACATTATTAAATCTAGGCAAGCTAATTATTACTTTTAACATAGTATAACTTAGATTCCTTTAAACATTTATGTTCATAAATTGTACAAAATATGTAAATATGCTCACATACTAAAATTAATATAGAAGATAATAAAACTATTTTACAGCATGATCAGGTCAGTAAAGTATATGTCAGTGAAGGCAAACTAAAAATAAATGAAAAACATGATTGGAAGCAGTATACAAAATATATTAAGGCCTGTATTTTTTTAAATCATGGCATGCTTTGAAGCATAAGATACACTTAAGGTATAGGTAGGTAGAATAATTTTATCTAAAGGAAATTTCTTCACATGCTCAGTAAAGTTTGCAAATACAATTTTTCCACTGGGTAGGAACACTTCTGACTCTGCCAGTTCAATATTTAGCTACTTTGAGCTAATACTGGACCAGAAGAGATCCCCCGTCGAGAACTCCTACTTCCCCTCAGAAAAGGAATCCCTATATCTCATCCTCAGTGCTGACACCTTCTGTGCTCTCCAGGGCTATCTTTCTGCTGTCAGTAGAACTGAGAAAAGTAAACCCCTCTTCCTTATTTTTACATGTGTGCAGAATTTGTAACATATGCAGCATGCAGAAGTCAACATTTTTCTTAATATCATAGAAGGTACATAAATTTGTTTTTTTCCTTTTTTTTTTAATTGCAATTTAGGTTTGGGGGTACATGTACAGAACATGCAAGATAGTTACATAGGTACACACGTGGCAGTGTGATTTGCTGCCTTCCTCTCCTTCACCCATATCTGGCATTTCTCCCCATGCTATCTCTCCCCAACTCCCCACCCCCTGCTGTCCCTCCCCTATTCCCCCCAATAAACCCCAGTGTGTATTGCTCCCTTCCCTGTGTCCATGTGTTCTCATTGTTCGTCATTGCCTATGAGTGAGAACATGTGGTATTTCATTTTCTGATCTTGTGTCAGTTTGCTGAGAATGATGTTCTTTAGATTCATCCATGTCCCTACAAGGACACAAACTCATCGCTTTTGATGGCTGCATAATATTCCATGGTGTATATGTGACACATTTTCCCAGTCCAGTCTATCATCGATGGACATTTGGGTTGGTTCCAGGTCTTTGCTATTGTAAACAGTGCTGCAATGAACATACGTGTGCATGTGTCCTTATAGTAGAACGATTTATAGTCCTTTGGATATATACCCAGTAATGGGATTGCTGGGTCAAATGGAATTTCAATTTCTAAGGCCTTGAGGAATCGCCACACTGTGTTCCACAATGGTTGAACTAATTTACACTCCCATCAGCAGTGTAAAAGCGTTCCTATTTCTCCACATGCTCTCCAGCATCTGTTGTCTCCAGATTTTTTAATGATCATCATTCTAACTGGCGTGAGATGATATCTCAATGTAGTTTTGATTTGCATCTCTCTAATGACCAGTGATGATGAGCATTTTTTCATATGTTTGTTGGCCTCATGTATGTCTTCTTTTGTAAAGTATCTGTTCATATCTTTTGCCCAATTTTGAATGGGCTTGTTTGTTTTTTTCTTGTAAATCTGTTTGAGTTCTTTATAAATTCTGGATATCAGTCAGATGGGTAAACTGCAAAAATTTTTTCCCATTCTTTGGTTGTCGATTCATTCTAATGACTGTTTCTTCTGCTGTGCAGAAGCTGTGGAGTTTGATTAGGTACCATTTGTCTATTTTGGCTTTTGTTGCCAGTGCTTTTGGTGTTTTGGTCATGAAGTCCTTGCCTACTCCTATGTCCTGGATGGTTTTGCCTAGATTTTCTTCTAGGGTTTTTATGGTGCTAGGTCTTATGTTTAAGTCTCTAATCCATTTGGAGTTAATTTTAGTGTAAGGTGTCAGGAAGGTGTCCAGCTTCTGCTTTCTGCACATGGCTAGCCAGTTTTCCCAATACCATTTATTAAACAGGGAATCCTTTCCCCATTGGTTGTTTTTATCAGGTTTATCAAAGATTGTATGGTTGTAGATATGTTGTGTTGCCTCCGAGGCCTCTGTTCTGTTTCATTGGTCTATATCTCTGTTTTTGTACCAGTACCATGCTGTTTTGATTACTGCAGTTTTGTGGTATAGTTTGAAGTCTGGTAGTATGATGCCTCCCGCTGTGTTCTTTTTGCTTAGAATTGACTTAGCTATGCGGGCTCTCTTTTGGTTCCATATGAAGTTCAAGGTGGTTTTTTCCAGTTCTGTGAAGAAGGTCATTGGTAGCTTGATGGGGGATAGTGTTGAATCTGTAAGTTACTTTGGGCAGTATGGCCATTTTCACGATATTGATTCTTCCTAACCATGAACATGGAATTTTTCTTCATCTGTTTGTGTCTCTCTTATTTCGTTGAGCAGTGGTTTGTAGTTCTCCTTGAAGAGGTCCTTTACGTTCCTTGTTAGTATTCCTAGGTATTTTATTCTCTTTGTAGCAATTGTGAATGGCAGTTCATTCTTAATTTGGCTCTCTTTAAGTCTGCTATTGTTGTATAGGAATGCTTGTGATTTTTGCACATTGGTTTTGTATCCTGAGACTTTGCTTAAGTTGCTTATCAGTTTCAGGAGATTTTGGGCTGAGACTATGGGGTCTTCTAGATATACTATCATGTTGTCTGCAAATAGAGACAATTTGGCTTCCACCTTTCCTATTTGAATACCCTTTATTTCTTTTTCTTTCCTGATTGCTCTGGCTAGAACTTCCAGTACTATATTGAATAGGAGTGGTGAGAGAGGGCATCCTTGTCTAGTGCCAGATTTCAAAGGGAATGCTTCCAGTTTTTGCCCAATCAGTATGATATTGGCTGTTGGTTTGTTGTAAATAGCTTTTATTATTTTGAGATACGTTCCATCAATACCAAGTTTATTGAGGGTTTTTAGCATAAAGGGCTGTTGAATTTTGTCAAAGACCTTCTCTGTGTCAATTGAGGTAATGTGGTTTTTGTTTTTGGTTCTGCTGATGCAGTGAATTACGTTTATAGACTTGAGTATGTTGAACCAGCCTTGCATCCCCGGGATGAATCCTACTTGATTATGGTGGATAAGCTTTTTGATATGCTGTTGCAATTGACTTGCCAGTATTTTATTGAAGATATTTGCATCTATGTTCATCATGGATATTGGCCTGAAGTTGTATTTTCTTGTTGAGTCTCTGCCGGGTTTTGGTATCAGGATGATGTTGGTCTCATAAAATGATTTGGGAAGGATTCCGTCTTTTTGGATTATTTGGAATACTTTCAGAAGGAATGGTACCAGCTCCTCTTTGTGTGTCTGGTAGAATTTCGGATGTGAACCCATCTGGAACTGGGCTTTTTTTGTGTGATAGGCTCTTAATTGCTGTCTCAACTTCAGATCTTGTTATTGGTCTATTCATAGTTTCGACTTCTTCCTGGTTTAGGCTTGGGAGGACACAGTAGTCCAGGAATTTATTCATTTCTTCCAGGTTTACTAGTTTACGTGAATAGAGTTGTTTGTAATATTCTCTGATGATGGTTTGAATTTCTGTGGAATCTGTGGTGATTTTCCCTTTATCGTTTTTTATTCCATGTATTTGGTTATTCTCTCTTTTCTTTTTTATTAATCTGGCTAGTGGTCTATTTTGTTGATCTTTTCAAAAAGCCAGCTCCTGGATTTATTGATTTTTTTGAAGGGTTTTTCGTGTCTCTATCTCCTTCAGTTCTGCTCTGATCTTAGTTATATCTTGTCTTCTGCTAGGTTTTGAGTTTTTTTGATCTTGCTCCTCTAGCTCTTTCAATTTCGACGATAGGGTGTCAATTTTGGATCTCTCCACTCTTCTCATGTGGACACTTGTTGCTATATATTTTCCTCTAGAGACTGCTTTAAATGCGTCCCAGAGATTCTGGTATGTTGTGTCTTCGTTCTCGTTGGTTTCGAAGAGCTTCTTTATTTCTGCCTTCATTTCATTTTTTATCCAGTCAACATTCAAGAGCCAGTTGTTCAGTTTCCATGAAGCTGTTTGGTTCTGAGTTAGTTTCTGAATTCTGAGTTCTAGCTTGATTGCACTGTGGTCTGAGAGACTGTTTGTTATGATTTCAGTTGTTTTGCATTTGCTGAGGAGTGATTTATTTCCAATTATGTGGTCAATTTTAGAGTAGGTGTGATGTGTTGCTGAGAAGAATGTATATTCTGTGGATTTGGGGTGCAGAGTTCTGTAAATGTCTATCAGGTTTACTTGTTCCAGGTCTGAGTTCAAGTCCTGGATATCCTTGTTAATTTTCTGTCTGGTTAATCTAATATTGATAGTGGAGTGCCAAAGTCTCCCACTATTATTGTGTGGGAGTCTAAGTCTCTTTGTAAGTCATTAAGAACTTGCCTTATATATCTGGGTGCCCCTGTATTGTGTCCATATATATTTAGGATCATTAGGTCTTCTTGTTGTATCGATCCTTTTACCATTACGTAATGTCCTTGGTTGTCTCTTTTGATCTTTGTTGCTTTAAAGTCTATTTTATCAGAGGCAACAATTGCAACTCCTGCTTTTTTTGCTCTCCATTTGCTTGGTAAATCTTCCTCCATCCCTTTATTTTGAGCCTTTTTGTATTTTTGCATGTGAGATGGGTTTCCTGGATACAGCACACTGATAGATTTTGGCTTTTTATCCAATTTGCCAGTCTGTGTCTTTTGATTGGTGCATTTAGCCCATTTACATTTAGGGTTAATATTGTTATGTGTGAATTTGATACTGCCATTTTGATTCTGGCTGGCTGTTTTGCTTGTTAGTTGATGCAGATTCTTCATTTTGTTGATGCTCTTTAGCGTTTGGTATGTTTTTGGAATGGCTGGTACTGGTTGTTCCTTTCTATGTGTAGTGCCTCTTTTAGGAGCTCTTGTAAAGCAGGCCTGGTGGTGACAAAATCTCTGAGTACTTACTTGTTGGCAAAGGATTTTGTTTTTCCTTCACTTCTGAAGCTTAGTTTGGCTGGATATGAAATTCTGGGTTGAAAGTTCTTTTCTTTAAGGACATTGAATATTGGTACGCACTCTCTTCTGGCTTGTAGGGTTTCTGCTGAGAGATCTGCTGTGAGTCTGATGGGCTTCCCTTTGTGGGTGACCCGACCTTTCTCTCTGGCTGCCCTTATTATTTTCTCCTTCATTTCAACCCTGGTGATTCTAACGATTATGTGCCTTGGGTTGCTCTTCTTGCTGAATATCTTTGCGGTGTTCTCTGTATTTCCTCGACTTGGACATTTGGCCTCGCTTGCTAGGTTGGGGAAGTTTTCCTGGATAATATCCTGAAGAGTACTTTCCAGCTTGGATTCATTCTCTTCGTCACATTCTGGTACACCTATCAAACATAGATTAGGTCACTTCACATAGTCCCACATTTCTTGGAGCCTTTGTTCATTCCCTTTTGCGCTTTTTTCTCTAATCTTGCCTTCTCATTTTATTTCATTGAGTTGATCTTCGATCTTTTATATCCTTTCTTCTGCTTGGTCAATTCGGCTGTTGAAACTTGTGCATGCTTCGCGAAGCTCTCGTGTTGTGTTTTTCAGCTCCATCAATTCACTCATATTCCTCTCTAAGTTGTCCATTCTTGTTACCATTTCCTCAAATCTTTTTTCAAGGTTCTTAGTTTCTTTGCATTGAGTTAGAACATGTTCTTTTAGCTCATGAAAGTTTCTCATTATCCACCTTCTGAAGTCTGATTCTGTCATTTCATCACACTCATTTTTTGTCCAGCTTTGTTCCCTTGCTGGTGAGGAGTTGTGATCCCTTGTAGGAGGCGAGGTGTTCTGGTTTCGGGTGTTTTTCTCCTCTTTGCCTTGGTTTTGTTCCATGTTTGTGGATTCATCTACCTGTTGTCTGGGCAGTTCCTGATTTTCAGATTGGGTCTCTGAGTTGCCATCCAGATTATTGATGATGAAGTTATTTCTGTTTCTTAGTTTTCCTTCTAAAAGTCTGGCCTCTCTGCTTTAGGACTGCTAAGGTCCACTCCAGGCCCTGCTTGCCTGGGGGTCACCTTCAGCAGCTGCAGAACAGTAAGGGTTGCTACCAGTTTTTTCTTCTGCTTCTTTGTCCCAGAATGATGCCCGCCAAATGTCAGTCTGATCATTCCTTTGTGAGGTGACTCTTTGGATATACGGGGGTCAGGGAGCTGCTTGAGCACCCAGTCTTTTTTTAAAGGAGCTCAAGTGCTGAGCTGTGAGCTCCATTGTTCATTCAGAGCTTCTAGGCAGGTATGTTTATGAGTTCTGCTGCAGAACTCATAAACCGCCTTTTTTTCCCTAGGTGCTCTGTCCCAGCGAGTAGGGCTTTATTTATGAGTATCCGTTGTGTTGCTGCCTTTTTTTTTCCCCCCTCAGGGCTGTCCTGCCCAGCAAGGAGGCAGCCTAGACATTGCCTGCAGAGGCTTTGCTGAGCTGCTGTGAGGTCTGCCCTGCTTCTGGTTCTGCCCTACTGCTGTGTGTATTTCCCTACAGTCCTGTTTATATGGGTGTGATTAGAATTACCTTGGCAATGTTGGCCTGCCTCTGTAATGGCGGACTCTTTCTGTTATGGCGGATTGCCATGGCAATGGCAGACTGTGTCAGCAATGACAGACTACCTCCATAGGGGTGGAGTAATGACGGATACCCCTCCCCCACAGAGCTGGACCGTCCTGGGTTTAGCTGTGCTTGCCGTGAAACTCTCAACCCCGAGTGTTTCCAATTCCTGGTTTTTTGTTTTTGTTTTTGTTTTTTTGGGCGTGGGACCGGTCAAGCCTGGTCACCTGGCTCCCTGCCTCAGACCCCTTTTTTTTTTCAGGTTGAACAATTGACTCTCCCAGGTGTTCCAGTCCTGCTGAAAGGGCGCCAGGATCTGTGTGATTTCCCGTGTGGCGACCCACTGCGCAGGCTGAAACAACGTCTCTGCCTGGGAATCTCCTGGCCTGGCTTTATGTTTCGGTCCCGTTTAATCAGATGAATGGGCTAATATGCCTTCCTGCATCTCCAATTGCCAGTTTAACAGGGAACCAGACCAGTGTATTTTGTATGGAGAGCCGCTGCGCTGCAGTGCCGGCCACTCTGGCCAAAACAGCTGCGCTGGCGACCCGTGGGGCTCCTCCAACTGGGAATCTCCTGCTCTGTGGGCAGTAAAGTTCCGTCTGGAAGTGCGGTGTCCACTCACCTTCTGCGCTTTCACTGGGAGCTGCAATCCTGAGCTGCTCCTACAGTGCCATGTTGAACCTTGCCCAAGTTTGTTTTTTCACTTAAAGTTGTGACCTTATTTATCTTCAGGGTTTTTTTTTTGTAATAATTAAGTAAAGCCTATAGAATTTTAAGAAACTTGAAGATGAGTTGAAAATTAGGGAAGTAGTTTTAAAAATATTTGTTGTTCTGTCATTTTTTTTATTATAATGTTTTCATTTTTTATAAAACAAGTCTTAAAATTTTACCTTGTGTGTGATCTAAAAATTCCTTCTCTCTGTCTAGTGAGTACTCCAGTGATTACTCTGACTGGACAGCAGATGCAGGAATTAATCTGCAGCCACCAAAGAAAGTTCCTAAGAATAAAACCAAGAAAGCAGAAAGCAGTTCAGATGAAGAAGAAGAATCTGAAAAACAGAAACAAAAACAAATTAAAAAGGAAAGGAAAAAAGTAAATGAAGAAAAAGATGGACCAATATCACCAAAGAAAAAGAAGCCCAAAGAAAGAAAACAAAAGGTTTGGTTTTTAAAATAATAAATTTAGTGTTCTCTAGGGGAAGAGTTAAAGCACAGATTTTGAAGTACAGTTGATCACAAACATTGTTGAAGTGTATCAGCAAATAATAGAAAAGACTGAAGTACATAGTAATAAAAAAAGCATACCTAAATATATTTAGTTTATTTGGGTTTTTAGATATTTAGCATGTAGAAGTATTTACTTACAAAAATGCCATATTCTAAATATTGACCATTTAATCTTAAAAAGATCAGATTTTTCCTCAGAGTTCCATAGGATTTATTTATGTGAAATACATAATGATACAACACATATAGTATATTAGTCTATAAATTGCCTTTAAGTTTAACCATACTTATTTGCTATTGCTGAAAATAAACAGAAAGTCTACTTTTTACAGTTGACTCCAAGGTAAATATGAAGCTAAAGTGAGATAAGATGGGCTTGTAACATTTCTTCATTAATCTATAGAGTGTGTGCCGTAAGTTTTCAGATTTTTGGTCAGTAGCAATATTGATTTGATTACTACAATTAAGTCTGTAGACAGTTTTAGAGAAAACAGAGAATGTAAGAAATATTATAGGAGGAATATGTGTCACCTCTTATGGAGTTTAAATTCTTAACATGCAAATGAAAATGAGAACTGTTTAATTTTTGTTCCAAAGTAAATACAACACAAGGGACATGCTTACTGCTTCCCAAAATACTGTGAATGGGAAGCATCTTTGGTTAAAAGGAAGATTTTTTTTTTTTTATAACCTTTGCCATTTAGGTATAAGTTGTCATTTATAAAATTAAATAGTAGGAGGCTGTAGGGTCTTTATCCCCACTGAGTTTTCAAAAAATATAATAATATAACATATCTATTTTGTTTTAAATGTTTAGTTTTTCTACATTTGTTGAGTTATTATTTCAGCATTATGAGTTACTTTAATTTGGATTTCTCAGCTGTTACTCTTGTTGCCTCCTTTACTTTTGTTTGAGGAAGCTTTACCAAAGAGAATCCCACACATTTGCCCATAGTTTTTCTTTTCTACCTTGTCAGTGATGATAAATGTAGTCTGATTCGTTATTTTGTGTATGTAGTAGACAGATTGGTTAAAGAAAATTCGGTTTAGCTATGGATCTGGCTAATAAGGTAAATACTGTTTTTCAGTTCAGGACAGTTTTGATGAACTTTAGAGGTTTGGAGTGATAAGTCACTGTGAGAACAATGTTTTCATCCCAAGAGTATAGTTTGCTTCATCTGGTCCCCTATAATTTGATAATTTTCCTCAAGTTAATACGATGGCACCTTCATGTACTGGCACATAGAGATCCATTGTTAACATTTGGCAGATTTTAATTTCACTGTTGTTGTGACAAAGTATTGTAATGGGATGATTCTGCCAGTAGATTTATGTGGGTCACTATAAATATGATAAGGTTAGGATACTGGAGAGTATTCCCTTTAGTTTAAATTTTGTTCACATGCCTAGCAAGTGACCTAACAGATAGTAGATAGACTTGTTCTTATTCCTTAGTCCTCTAATTATCTCAAATAAACATAGAAGTATTTCCTTTGTTAAACAGGGCATCTTATGTTGGGATTGCAGATGAAGCTCCATAGGGGAAATAAGATTTGAGTGGGCCTAAAAGCATTCCCATATTTGGAAAGGAAAGAAATCAATTATTTATACTTTCCACATTAAAAGAAAACTCAAATCATGGAGCTGGAAATGCTGAAGAATACTCAATGCATTCTTAACTTCTTAATGGTTATAATTAATAAGTGACAGAAATCTGCCTCAACCAAACATTCTAAGTTCCTCAGGAATTACTAGGGAATAACTTTTGTCCTCGTAATGATTTTTGGTGATGGCAGTCTTTGAATCATACATACAGTTATTCTTATTTAATATACAACTTACCTGTCTTGATGTAAAAGTTGTTAGCTTTCCCATTGAACATAGATAATTTCCTTATGGGGAGAAATACTTGTCTAGCAATTAACATTTCATATTGAGGCAGTATTAGGATTTTCAAACTTTTCTGTCTTTTGCTTCTTATTAGTCAAAGGAAACTCTTTTCAAACAAACTTTTAGCTCAGCTCCTCAATTTATAAAACTTATAAAAATCAAGGCTGCTCTGAATAAAACATAGTAGAAATTCCTGGGTTGTTGGATCTCTGTGATATACTCAGTACATAACATAATGGTTACTTGATTTGATAACGGTGTATATATCAAATTAGTGTTTGGATATCATTTTACTCCTCACATCTAACACCTGCAACCCTTATTTACCAAGCTTTTTCCTCAAACCTGCTGTACCCCAGCCCTCTTTATTTCAGTAATATGATGACTCCTTTAGTTGTTTATACCAGAAACCCTGGACATAGCCTCGATTCCGCTTTTTCTCTCATATTCTACATCCAGTCCATCAGGGAATCAATTATCTGATGGATTATAAATATATTCAGCACTTTACTGTTTTTCACCACCACTATGCTATCATGTTAGTTTGAATCACCCTTAATTCTCGGTTATATTACTGTGGTAGCATCTCATTTGACTTCCTGTTTCTCCCTTTTTCTCCCTAGGGTCTATTCTTTAAAGCATAGGTAACAGATTTTTTTTTTTTTTTTTTTGCAGAAGACCAGCTACTCTGCCATAGTAGCATTTATAGATAATACGTATAGGTCTAAATATGGACCATACATATGGCTGTGTTCCAGTAAAACTTAATTTATAAAAATTGTGGCAGGTTGGACTTGCTCTGGGGGGTCATGATTTGCCAGTCCTTGTTCTGATGCATCCAGAGTGAGCCTTTTAAAATATAAGTGACATCATACTATACTTCTTTATTTTTTTTTTTAATTGCATTTTAGGTTTTGGGGTACATGTGAAGAACATGCCAGATAGTTGCATAGGTACACATGTGTCAGTGTGATTTGCTGCCTTCCTCCCCATCACCTATATCTGGCATTTCTCCCCATGCTCTCTCTCCCCAACTCCCCACCCCCACTGTCCCTCCCCTGTTCCCCCCAAATGACCTATACTTCTGCCTAAAATTCTGTAATGAACCCATCTCACGTATAGTAGATACCAAAGGCCTTTACCTTAACTCTCCAGGGTAATGCTCCTGATGTGTTTGAGAAACAGTATGATGTGGCTAATAGGAAAAAGAGGAAAACAACAACTACTACAATTGGGAAACAACTGTAGTTGTACCTGTTGCAAGTAGCCTTGCTTGATATCATATTACGGCATTGCTTCTTTTAGTAAATGAGTATTGTTTTATAGTACCTTGTTTTTTAAAAAGTGAGTAAAATGTAGAAGTCTTAGTGTACAGTCATTTTAAATGTTTTACTTGAGATTCACAAAAGACTTTAATCAGTTGCATAAAGTTTTTTTACTTATAAAAATACTAGGTTTCAAATGTTCTTAGAAAGTTCATTTATTTCTAAGTCTAAAGTAACGTCAAGACCATTGTGGCCACTTGTGGGTGACCAGCAAAGTTAAGGAATTTTCTCAGAGGTGTTGTTTTATTTTATCCATGAGAGTTAAAAAAGTAAAGGACCTGGCTTGACAACATTTTATTTGAACAAAATGTGAATTTTTTAAAGATGCTTAGTGTGAGCCAAGAATGTGAAATGGTTACTTTAAGAAGGAGAGAACATTCTCATGCTGTGTAGAAGTATAATGTCCAGCTCATAGAAATAATTAGCCTTCTATATCTTGCACTACTCAACTCCTATGAGAATATCTTTAGTTCTGATGTACTATAACTAGGATTAAAAATAAAACAACTCTAGGATGTCTTGGTTTGTTACATGGAATGTTTAGAAAATGGAGAGGATTTTGAAAGGAAAGGAGAATACACCGAGCTTGTACCTTGGGGTTTGTGGGAATATCTTTTTACCTTGTTGTGAGTGTTGGCTGTAGATTTTGGGGTTTTGCTTCTAGTTAGTTCTCTTTACAGGCAGTGATTTGGAGAGACTGAATAACTCTTGCCATTGCTGCCATTTTTTTCCAGAATAAGTATTTTGATGCTTAAAGGATAGTCATCTCTCAGTAGCCATGGAGGATTGGTCCCAGGACCCCATAGATAACAAAATCCATGGATATTCAGGTTGCTTATAAAAAAATGGCATAGGATTTACATGTGACCTACACACAGTCTCCTATATACTTTAAATCATCTCTAGATTGTTAAAATACCTAATACAGTGCCTACGCATCATTTCATTTGTGTGGATTCAACATAGTATTCAGAATGTAGCAAATTCAAGTTTTGCCTTTTGGAACTTTGTGGAATTTGTTTTCCAAATATTCTAAGTCATGGTTTGTTGAATCCATGGATGCAGAACCCATGGATACACAGGGCTAACTGTATATAGTACAGTGATTGTTTTATTTAATTATCTCTGTAGTTATTTTAAAGAGTAGATTGGTGGATTAATGCTTTTATTATTATTACTTAACAATATTTTAAATTTTGTTAGAGGTTGGCTGTGGGAGAACTAACTGAAAACGGGTTGACATTAGAAGAATGGTTGCCGTCAACATGGATTACAGATACTATTCCCCGAAGATGTCCGTTTGTGCCACAGATGGGTGATGAGGTACTTTTAAAGTTCTAAATTATCCTTTTTCTTACATAATTTTAAACATTTTTAATAGCTCTTGAAAGAGAATCTAGAAAATTGAAGCAGTTTCATAAAGTATATCATTCTAGAGGTTTGTATCTATGTATAGAGAAAGTACCATTAGGAGGGAAAATCTAATGATAATCCTCTTTGAAGCTTCTGTAATTCTAAATATTCTAAGATTGAAAATTTTGTTAGTGTTTAAAAAAGTGGAGTGTATGTTTTAAGAAGAGGGTTTTATTGCCAGCTTTCTTTTCCTTTTTAAATTAAAATGTACTCATTTATCTTACTTATAGCCTAATGTATAACATGTTAAAAGAGAAATGAAATTTAGAACTTTGTTTTCATGTAGTTTTATTTAAAAAAAAAGTGTTTGTGTTTTGTTTACCTGCAGTTTTCATAGTTTATTAGCTCTTTAAAAACATCTATAATCTAGAATAAAAAATGCTATTTCATTTTTAATAAACTGATGATGAGATAATTGTTTTAAAATATGTAATTGTGAATTTAGAATGAAAATGTAAGAATTAGTTTCCAAATTTTTTACTCAAGGTTAGTGTCTCCTTATTTGGTACACAAATTTTAAGAGGCAGTGTTAATCTGGTATTCAACAGATTGACCAAAAATAAACTGTGGATTAAAATAGAGAATTAGCAAAGGATACTAATTAACAGTATAAAGTGGTAATTGACACTTAAGAAAAAAAGGAAAACAAATATTTCTTAATGCTAGAATGGTTGTAAAGAACAGTCTCAAAGAATTTATTTAGAAATCCTACATGCCTCTTAGGACTTAGAAGATCACAGAGCATTACCACATTATAGTATACTACAGTGATAGATCTTAACAGATCCTATAACATCAAAAAGATGTGAAATTACATGTAATACGTTATTTCAAGATGGCCAGAAAAAGTTTGTAATTTCTTGTTGAATGATTTGCTTTCAAAATGCTTAGGTTGACTTTTTAGTTGGTGGTGCTTGAACAGGTGTGTCTTCATTATTTAGCACTATTAATCATTTAAAGTTCCAGACAACTGGAATAATAATGGTAATAATGAATAGAATGAAAGTATGGGATAGTGGCTCTCCCAAAATGTTACAAAAAGCTTAACATTTTTAGGCCGGGCTCGGCAGCTCATGTTTATAATCCCAGCACTTTGGGAGGCCGAGGCGGATGGACCACGAGGTCAGGAGATCAAGGCCATTCTGACCAACATGGTGAAACACTATCTCTACTAAAATACAAGAAATTAGCCAAGTGCGGTGGCGCGTGTCTGTAGTCCCAGCTGCTCGGCAGGCTGAGGCAGGGGAATTGTGCTGCACTTGAGCCTGGCAACAGAGTGTGACTCTGCCTCAAAAAAGAAAAAAAAAACTTAGCATTTTTAATCACACTCTTCTAGTAGTAGATGTCAGACTACTGTGTTCAAGTGCTAGTTCTCAAAAACAGTAGTCAGGAATTACAATTTCATCTTCATGAAATGTATGGTCTGCTGTCATACCAGGATTTGTGTAAAGATTAAAATATATGTGAAAATACATTTTTCATTTTAATGTTTTCTGTATATGTACAAACCACTTTCTAAAGAGTTAAGAACACAAGTGGATGATAAAGTTACTAGTCAACTTTATTATGCAACGTCAACTTATTTAGAATTTATGTATATAAATATAAATTTAAATAAATAAGAATACAAATTCTTATTATATATAAATTCTAAATAAGTTGACGTTGCATAATAAAGTTGTGTTCTTACCCAGAAAGTAACTTTTCATCTTAACTTTTAAGTGTATATTCAAAGAATGTTATTTAGAACACTTTGGTTATGATTTAGCGATGTTAAGACAACTTGAGAGGAGGAAGAGGGGAAAAATATTAGAATTTCTGTTAGCTCAAAAGGCAGTAGATTTTCTTTTTGCAAATTCAGTTGATACCCTGTATATTGGGTTAAAGGAAACACATCCAGGTTTTAAGATTATAACTTTATTTTTTAGGTTTATTATTTCCGACAAGGACATGAAGCCTATGTCGAAATGGCCCGGAAAAATAAAATATATAGTATCAATCCCAAAAAACAACCATGGCATAAAATGGAACTACGGGTATGACATTGATTTATTATTTAATAGCCCCAAAAATACAGTTATGAATTTAAGAGAAAATTGTATCAAAGGTTACTATTAACACTATAAGAAACTGCATCATGAAGATAACTTATTTAATTAAAGCAGTCATAGAGAGTAGCAGGTGTTTAATTTTCAGCCAGAGAAACACAAGATTTGACTGAATTTATACATTCCAATGCAGTTTATGGGTTGGGCACAAAATTTAGTTCTAGTGAAAATTAGGTAAAAGGTCTAAGGTAAGCTTTGTATTGGTAAATTTTGATGCATATTTCTAGATTTGTCAGCAGTAGTTCAAAGTTACCTATAGGTCTTTGGAATGGTGATAGAAAACTTACTTTAGTAAAGTTTTCCTTATTTTTCTTTTTTTTTTTTTACTTTTTAAAAATTTTGATGTGACTTGCATACTATAGAGTGCACCAATCTTAAGTACATAGCTCAGTGAATTTTTATGTGTACGCGGTCATCACCATCCACATCAAGATTTAAATCAAGAATTTTTTTTCTCAATAATGTTTAACTCTGTGTTTCATGGTTTGTTTTGTAAAGATGGTTTCTTATTTTGTCTATCTCTCTCAGGAGCAAGAACTTATGAAAATAGTTGGCATAAAGTATGAAGTGGGATTACCTACCCTTTGCTGCCTTAAACTTGCTTTTCTAGATCCTGATACTGGTAAACTAACTGGCGGATCATTCACCATGAAGTAAGGACTGTTAAAAGGGTCAATGGTTTTTTTAGTATTATAGATTGTTTTTCAAGTTTCAGATACATTTGAGCATCTTTGAGATAATTTTAGGTATGTGACCTAATCAGTTTCTTTCTGTTTGTAATTAGATACCATGATATGCCCGATGTTATAGATTTCCTAGTCTTGAGACAACAATTTGATGATGCAAAATATAGGCGATGGAATATAGGTGGGTATTTTTTTTAGAAGCTGTACATGTTTGATATGTTTTTTTTTCTTAGTAAGTGATCTACTAGTTTTCATAATTATCAGAGAAATCTTTTTGCTATTATAGCAAAGTAAGGTACTGTGTCAGAGGTATTGTTAAGTTTTGTTAAGGAATGAAAATGACTTTAGTCAATGCTGAAATTCCAAACATTTTTTATTACATTTGACTTTGTCTTTTCATTGTTTTACATGTTGTAAAATTTTTATATAAAAATATTAACAGAATTTAAATTTGAACCCAAAAAAAGCTTAACAAGAAGTGTGTACTGGGACTAAAGCTGAACTGACATTTTTCTTTCATTGGTTAGTCCTATTATAATCTTTAAAATTAGTATTGTAAACAAGTCTCAAAGAAACTAAAATCCTTAAAAGTTTTTAGTCATTTAAGGTGCATTAATTTACATATAGATGATGTGCCATTTATTAGAGTAGTTCTCTTAAAAATTTCATACAGGACCAGTGTGTGTCATGGTGTGATGTGTATATGGCATACATGTTTTGAAAAAGCATATCAAATGATAGATCAGTTTATCTTTCAGTGACATTGGAATGCATTGGCATGGTGGTTTGTCCTTTCTATAAACTTGTATATGCTCTGTAAAGAGAAATTAGGAAAATGCAAGTTATCAAAACTGTGGACATGGAAGTTAGCAAGAAAATTTACATCTCATGCAGCATTTTCCTAGAAGTTTTGAAAGATGTGTTTCATCAGATAAGGGAGTAAACCAAGAAAGGGAGAAGTATGGAATCCCCTCAGAAAACAGGAAGTCCAGAACAGGAAAAGTCAAAAGGAATCCCAAGTAATATTTAGTAGAAGCCTCAGGATAGCAGCTACCTAGCAAGTCCAGTTGTCCTTCCAAGGGGAGAGTTCAGAGGGAAAACTTGGAACACATACGTTATCTAACAAGTTTGTCTCTGTGGAAAATTACATTTAAGAATGAATTTTACAGCTTGAGCTGTTAGAGAATGTGGGAAGATATAATTGTAAATTCACTGAAAACCAAGCATTAAAAAAATGAAGCAATATTAAATTTAGGGAAAATAAAATTGTATAAGAAAGGAATTATATGCTGTTTTGCTTAGAAACAAGCAGTATTTACATCGTCATGATTATAAATTGAATCTGGATTAAATGTAATACACATACTTTTCATGTACAGTTGTATTGAGATTATAGGTGTCCTTTAGTATCCACAGGGAATTGCTTCCAGGACCCCCATGGATACCAAAATTTGTCCATACTTAAGTCCGAGTTGATCCTACAAAATCCCCCTAATTTCAAAAGTTGGCCCTCCATATGAGTTTCACATCCCACTAATACTGTATTTTCAGTCTGCATTTGATTGCTGATGTAGAATCTGCCAATACAGAGGGCCAAATCTTTTTATTGAAAAAATCTGGGTATAAGTGGACCTGGTCAATTAAAACCCAGTATTCAAGAATCAACTCTGATACTTAATGTCGAAAACTGACGAATGAAGTAATCTGTAAATCAAGAAGTAGTAGTTAAAATAGATGGAAACATTTTTCTTGGGTTTGGGTATCAGCCTTTGGTACATTTGATTTTTTAAATTATTCACATATGTTACTTGATATGATGAATCTTATTTTTTTAAGGACATGAATTTGCCAATAAATTGCAGAACAAATAATATGGCTCAAAGTGCAGGAACTTCCAGAAGTGAGCTTATAATCTCAGCAAAGTAATATGGCTAGCATTGGACAAATCAGAGAGATTTCAAATGGATGAGCATCCTAATTTTCTCATTTGGATCTTACCATTTTATTCTAATTTATAGGTTAATATTTATCTAAAGTTAGTATCTAATTAGTCTTTCATGTCGCAGACTGCCATTTAAAATCACATTAGTAGTTTTTACTTTAGCCCTCCTTAGAAATGTTTTAAGGCTTACTCTCAGTGGTGTACTGCAGACTGATAGTAGTCCAGGTTCTTTGCTTAACTTTATTGTTATTTTACAAGTACCGTTCATTGTGGTTAGGCACACATTGCTCAGTTCTTCCTCTTTAGCATAATGATCAGTCTGTGTAGGATCATAAGACACCCTTTGAAACTATGTGCTGGTGTCAAGAATGCTTCTTATTAAACTATATAGTAGCTTCTTGTTAAGTTTAGTGTCACTAGTATGCATCTGAGGAACAGCTGTCAACAACATGCAGTTGTGTTCTATTGACTTACTCCTGGCTCTACTTTTCATTTTTTACCTTGTTTTTCTGATTTTCAATTCATTTTATGCTATATATTTTTTAAACTTCTAAATCATTTTTGGTAAGAAAATAAATACTTTTCTCTTTGAGTTTGAAAATAAAACTGATTCAGATAATTGCTAACTTCATTTTGACTTAACAGTATGTCAACAATGTAGAGTTCTTTAATAGAACGTGTTACTCAAAAACTGCTGGGAGGTAGACATCACTATTTCTATTTTATAGACAAGGAAAATGAAGTCAAAAAATAAATATATTCAAACTTACACAGATACATTATTTGAACCCAAGTGTTTCAGACTCTATCCTTTGCTAGCCAGGAGAAAACTCAAGTACTGTGAGAGATAAGGAACAGGAAGGCATTACATAAAGGAAGTAAGTGACTTACAGTTTACTTATGACACAGAAGGAACTTGAGAAGATTTAGATAAGAAAAGGCCACAGCATTTATAGCTTACTCAGGTCTTTGGGAAAAAGCAGGTTAAGTCATATGACGACAGCAATTAGGTAAGGAAACAGAAACAAGAAGTGTCCTCTGTTTTAAAAAGATTAGTTGTTTTATTTTTGTTTCCTTTTACAGGAAAGGGAGAGTGAGTGAATATTAAGGGTGATTGAGACGAAGGAAGACAAGTTGTGTTTCATGTTGTTTGTTGTTTTTAGGATAAACTCTTGATTGATGGTTGGGAAACTTGCCTACAGATAGTAAGAAATTAAAAATAGACAAAGTAATTGTTGAGTAGAACTTATCTTAATTATAACTTTGAGTGAAAAGTTTGGGTGTAGTGTTAATGATGAATTTAAAATGCTACATTGGTAAAAATTGCTAAAACAAGTGAATTTCTGTATACCTTAATGAAATCTAAGAAACAGAATTGAAAACTGTTAAGTCACACTTCAAGTATGCTTACTAAATACTTCTCTTGGTTATTGCTGATTGTACTTATTTATTTTTGGAGTGTGTGGGTCACTTTTTGTCTTCTGAAATCATACAGGTAGTTTAGGTACATAAAGGTTCACATTAGGAAAAAGTAGTCAGAGCAGCCATGCATTTCAAAGTAATGAGATAGTTTTTGTTCTTGGCCAGGTGACCGCTTCAGGTCTGTCATAGATGATGCCTGGTGGTTTGGAACAATTGAAAGCCAGGAACCTCTTCAACTTGAGTATCCTGATAGTCTGTTTCAGTGCTACAATGTTTGGTAAGGAAATATTTGTTGTGTTTTAGTTCACCTAGGCTTGCTTTGAATTATTTTCCCATCTATTACAAGAGACTTGTTTTAAACACAGAAGCAATTTTTTTGATAATTGATTTCATTAAAATTGTGATACAATAATTTAGATTTTTTAATATAATGATTTTTCTTTCTTTAAGCTGGGACAATGGAGATACAGAAAAGATGAGTCCTTGGGATATGGAGCTTATACCTAATAATGGTAAGTGTATGTTAGGCTTTTTGTCTCTGCATTATGGAGTTAACTTCTTAAGAAAATTGTTACCACTTAGGGTTGTTGTGAGTATCAAATAGAAAACATTGGTTCAGCAAATATTTATTGTACACATTGAATTAGGGGAGATTCAGCAGTGATAGACATAACCATAATTGGAATTTATAGTCTAACAGGAAAGATTGAAATTAATTTATTACAACAAAACATGAAATTGTTTTAATCGTTATGCAAGGAACTGTGCATTTGGGAGGCAGAGATTTTTTTTTAACTTTAGTAGAGTGCTTGGAGTGTAATGTAATAGTTACGAGTTCAGGCTTTTGAATGAGACATCAGTTCATATCCTGACTTGTCATTTTTCATGTGATCTTGGCAAGTTCCATAAAGCCTCACACCCCAGCGTTTTAGGACCTGGCCTTTGAAACTGTTTAAGCTAATAACTTTCTTATAGGGGCTTTGAGGATTAAATAGCATCATGTGTATGAAGTGCTTATTATAGAGCCTGACACACATAACAGCTCAATGAAGATATAGTTAAAATTAATGATGATAATAATAACTGTCATTGTGCATATGGACTGACACATTCAGGATTTAATAATTAGCTCTAGATAGTGAGTATGACATCTTCCTTGTACTGAGAAAAGTTCAGTGGGACCAAAGCCTGGAGGTTACAGTATTTTTCCACTTCATTGCCCATTTTTGTTTGTTTTTTAAAAATGCAACACACATACACAGTTGTATAAGCCAAAAATGGGTTACAAGGATATATTCAGATTTTAATTATGATTATAAAGTAGGATTATAAAGACTTCATAAATTCCTTTACATTATTCTATATCGTTTCATTTAAAAAAAAATCTGCCAGCAGATAAAATGTTTAAAAAACAAAAAGGAAAACATCTAATTTCTAACATAATAGAAATAATCTTTTGTAAACTGAGTTGCTCAGTAGTTATTGTAATCCAAAGTCAGAGAAAAAATAACTGTTGGAGAAAACCCAGTCTCATAGACCTCAGAAATGAGAATATGGTCATACCGATAAGCTTAGTTCTTTGCAGTAATTATCACTTTGAAAATTTAATTCCAAAAATTTATTTTGTATCTCATGCTGATTAGAACCATTTAAAATTACAAAATATCTTAATCAATATGTCACCAGGTTACGTGGCTTATCTTTTTGTTGTCTTTCTCTATTAAAAAAAAGGTTTGAATTTGAACTCACAGTGAACTGTTGTGGATATGATAGCAGTGAAGCCAATTGGTATTATAATGCCTTGGATGATTTTTAAATGAATAAGTGATACTGATTTACTGTTTTGTTTCCTACCTAAATATATTGAAGGGTGGTTATTGTTGTTCTTCTATTTAGATACACAGTCATACGAACCTATAGAGTTTAATTGTAGTTTGTGATGAGAATTTTGATTGTACACAAACAGTGGAATATTTTCTAGTGTGTATCTGCTGAAACCTAGTCTAAAGAAAAAATTATCTAGCACATTTGGAGACTTTGGGTTACCACAACCCTCTAGTGATTCCTTCAGCTAAAACTGAAAGATTCAATCATGCAGAAAGCATACCTTCATAATTTAGAACAACAAGCATAAGCATCATTTGTCAATTTTCATAATTCTTTCTGTTGTTACATTCAAAAATTGAAGCTTTGATTGAAGTATTTCTAGATAATATCACTTTAGTTCAGTTTTACCTTGTATATACTTTATCAAAGTAAATATGGCAATTAAATTATGAAGTGAGTCAGACAACTTTGATTTTGCATATTTTATAGAAATGATTTCTGCACTTGTAACTTGATTATAGAACAGATTTTCAGGTATAATTTTGGAGAAGTAATTATTTAGAGAATTACTTAGAAATACAGTATTTAAAAATTAATTTAAATTTTAGTAATCCTTGAAACATACTTTCCTTTATTAAAATAAAGAGTATGTTAATAGTATTTCTACAAAATATACTTAAATGTTGTGACTATTATTTTTACATTCTAAAGCTAACCTAAATACTAAGTTACCATGTATTTGCAATGATCTGCTTTTTATTTCAGCTGTATTTCCTGAAGAACTAGGTACCAGTGTTCCTTTGACTGATGTTGAATGCAGATCACTTATCTATAAACCTCTTGATGGAGAATGGGGTACCAATCCCAGGGATGAAGAATGTGAAAGAATTGTAGCAGGAATAAACCAGTTGATGACACTAGGTAAGTAAAACAACACATGAGTATAGAAAACACTGGCAGACAGCAAAGTAATGGGAAGAAATGTTATCCCCCCACCTCCAAATTTTTTTTCACTGTCATAAGTCAGTAGTTACAAACATTTTAAGTGATAATCTCTTTTTTGAATGAGGTCTTAACACAGGACTTAACTAAAACAGGTGTAAATTAGGTTACGTTAGCTGAATTTTAGAATAAGGGCCTCCTAGAAGTACCAGAGGCATCTCTGAAAAATCTGGGTCCTCCATAACCCAATGGGTAACAAGAGCGAAACTCCGTCTCAAAAAAAAAAAAACCACTGACATATGAATTGGAGAAGGAGGGTTGAAAGCTGAATTATAATTATATGGGTAGCTTTAGTGGTTTCCCTGAACTTTATATACACACACAAAAGAGGAGCTTTTTGAGGGGAGAATAGGGCATATGAATTGCTTTGCCTCATTAAAAGAAAAGAAAACAATGCGTAACTCTAGACCATGTGGTGGTTTATAGCAACCCACTCTCTCAGTAAGTAAGCAGCTTCAGAGTCTAGAGGGAAATTAACATGAGTATGAAGAGCTGAAGACACTGGATAGAGACAGATTGAGGAATACTCAAATCAGAAGTATTTTATAAAATGCCATCACTTTATAGGAGTAGCCTTATAAATACTACCTTAAATAATTTTAGCAATATTTTAGTATATAAAGTTAGTTTTATAGGTGAATGAGCAAAAAATTGGGAGTGATCTTAAGTAGTTACAGTTTTGCTGTACAACTTTACAGTGTGTTATTGGTTCAGTAGTGTCACTGAATCAAAACTTCTGGTTCTGTTTCCTTTTCTCTACTTGTCTGATATTTCATAGAATAATGTAAAGTTGAGACAAGGGTAAGTTTTGAGAAAGTCAAAGGTTATATTTGAATGCAGTATGTTACAGTGTTAATAGAATGGCTTTGTCAAATATAGATTTCAGGAATGACCAACTGTGAACCTGTGAATAAAAAAATAGCCCCAGAATTTGGCAGTGTAAATGTAGACATAATAAAAAGTGAGACTTTTTTTTATGTCTGCTAAGTTATATTTTTTATGAAAAGACAGTGGCAGACTAATGATTATGTAGGTTAGGACTTTTAAAGTCTTATTTCAAGCAGAATTCTTCTTCAATTATTTTAAGCATACAAAAATAAATTCACAAACTTATCTATTTGTTTTAGATATTGCTTCAGCATTTGTGGCCCCTGTGGATCTGCAAGCCTATCCCATGTATTGCACAGTAGTGGCATATCCAACGGATCTAAGTACAATTAAACAAAGACTGGAAAACAGGTTTTACAGGTTAGAACCATTTGATAGCTACTATTAAAGATGGTGATCTTTCCACCCATTTACTCATCTTATTTAGCAGTGTTTCTCAACTTTTTGTGTATATAAATGTACATATGAATCACCTGGAGATTATGCTAAAATGTAGAATTTTATTCAGTAGATTTAGAGTAGGACCTGAGATTTTGCTTTTTTTTCTTTTTTAAAAACAAGAGTCTCGCTTTGTCACCCAGGCTGGAGTGCAGGGTGCAATCTTGGTTCACTGCAACCTCCATCTCCCAGGCTTTAGCGATTTTTCTGCCTCAGCCTCCCATGGAGCTCGGACTACAGGTGCACACCACCACACCTGGCTAACTTTTTTGTTTTCAGTAGAGATGTTTCACCGTATTGCCCAGGTTGGTCTCAATCTCCTGACCTTGTGATCGGCATGCCTCAGCCTCCCAGAGTGCTGGGATTACAGGCATGAGCCACCGCACTTGGCCGAGATTCTGCATTTCTAACAAGTTCCCAGTAATGCCCATGCTGCTGGTCTTTAGACACTTAAAATACAGTTCCTAGATATTATTTTTCCTAGAGGGTAAAATGATTTGATGCTCACTGTCTTTATGTTGTGTTTTATAAAGCACGGCAGAGTATTTCATTTTCTCCTAAATAACATTAAAATATGTATTTGTTCATTGATTTTTAACAGAGTATATAATAAAAATTATATATTTCTATTAAGTATTTTGTTCTTATTTTGCATATATTCACCTTTCATTACTTAAAACACTGAAATTTGAAAATATTCAATTTTTCATAGTTGCAGTTTATCATGAAACAGAATTAAACAGCCCAGACATAATTTTGATTAATTTGCATTATCTAGGTAATTTTGCTAAATGTCTTTAATTTTCTATTACCTAAACTGTTTCGTCAAAAAAAAAGTTTCTAGTTTTTACAGTGGAATCCTGTATTTAGTTTTAATTTTTCTTTTATGACTTTTGCTTTGCAGTCCAACAATTTAATTTGTATAACATTGCATTAAAAGTTTCTTTTTGTGACCAGTTATTACTGAAGTCCTTTTTATTATTCTTCTTTTTAACTTAGAGAAGTTTTACTCATATTTTGTAGGAATCTTTTTCTATGTAAAATGTGCCTTTGGTTCTTTTTATTACTTAAATTGTATTTCTGTATCTCATTGTGAGGGGCTGTCCTTTGCCTGAACCCACTAGATGCCAGTAGCAGCCTCCCTAGTTTTGAAAATTAAAAATGTATTCATTGTTCCACATCTTCTGGGAAGTATAATTATCCTTGATTGAGAACCACTGGAATAAAGAAAACTAAGATATTAGACTTCAGGTTCTAAAGATTTTTCTGATCTTGTTAGGTGTGCTTGCTGTTGCTTCCTTGATATTTGTCCAAAAGCATAGAGATAAAAAGAAAATCCCCTGTGCTATGTGCTTCCCAGTCTTCAAGTCTTTTTCAGTATCATATGTTGGAAGTTTAAATGAATTCTTAACTATATTCCTCTTTCTCCCTTGCCCCATAAATTGCTAAAGATTGGAAGTTAAACTTAGTCCTTCAGAGACAAAACAAAACATGGGTGGATGAGAAGGAAAGAATTGTCTGTATACATACACTAGTTGTTGGGCTGCAACTAGAAAGATAAGCTGCTGATCTCTTCCAATATTGTTGCTCCACATGATAATTGCTGACATACACTATACATAAGGTTCCTGACTTAAAATGATCTGACTTAGATTTTTCAGCTTTATAGTGATGTGAAAGGAATATGCATTTGATAGAAACCATACTTGATTTTGAATTTTGATCTTTTTCTGGACTTGTGATATATTCTTTCATGATACTGAGCAACAGCAGTGAGCTACAGTTCCCAGTAGCTCGCAGTCAGCTTTGTGAATGAGGTTAAACCCATACTGTACAGCATACTGTGTTGCCATATGATTTTGCCCAACCGTAGGCTGACCTAAGTGTTCTGAGCATGTTTGAGGTAGGCTTGGCGGAGCTATAATGTTTGCTAGGTTAAGTATATCGCGTGCATTTTCGACTTAATGGTATTTTGAATTCACAATGGGTTTATTAGGATGTAACCCCATCGTTAGTTGAGGAACATCTGTATTTTAAGATACATTATATTTTAAATAGGCTTTTGGCATTAACCTAGTTTTTTAGCCAATTTAGGGGGAAAAAAAACTTTCGGAACACAGTACTTACATGAATTAGAAATTGCCTGTTTTCCAACCTGATAATAAACTCAGTTATAAACCTGAATGTTGTTCTTACTCAATACAATGATGCTTTCCACTGCCATTTCACTTTTTAAAGGTTTTTGTTTCCTCCTTCGCTCATTGGTGTAAGACTTCTTACAGTTTGTTTTTTCCTCTCTGATACTTTTCTAGTTCAGTCTCTTGTTAAACTACTACTGTCAGTTTGCCTTGCTGGTACTAAGCTAACGTTTTATTTTACACGCAGTTTTCTATATCATACACTGAAGATACCTGTGATTCTATTATTAGAGTGAGCCTTGTGAATCTATTTGAAATGCACAGAAGTTTTTCTTTATGCTTCTGTGTCTACAATTATATAGCGTTTTTTTTTATTCCATGTTATTGTATTCCTGTTCACAATAAATAAAGGTTTTCTGTTTTCTTTATTATTTTAAGTCAGGACACAGATAATATTCTCAAAAGTTGTCCTTGGTTTTTTTATTTACTTAGAGAAATAAAACTATAAAACTGCAGAATTTATTTTGGCATTGTCAATTAAGTGTTCAGAAAATAATTCTCTTTTAGTTAGGTTTCTTGGTAAACTAGCATACTACATATTTATGGTTTTGTATCTCATAAGTTGGCTGTCAGTTAACTTTTCATTTTTACATGTCATCTGATTACCAGTAATACAATTAAATTTAAATTACTTGTGTCTTTTTTTGTTCAGAAGTCAGGCGCCTTTATTACCAAAAAATGACAGTATTCATGAAAAAAATATATAAAGCCAAAACTTAAAACTCTCCTGTTTCTCCTCTCCTGCTGCTCCCCTTTTAGACATTCTCCCTTCCAAAAAGAGGACATTGTTGATAGTCTGGTGTGTTCCAGACATCTTACATGCAAATACATAATTATGGTTATGGTTGCCCCTTTTTTCCCCCCCGAACACAAATTTAGTTACGTTTCTTTGAAAATGACTTTATTGACCAATGGTTTTTATGATTGGCTTAGAAGGAAATTGAAAAGCTGGAATATCTTGGTTTTAAATTATGTACACATATTTCTAAATATAAGGAAGTTGAGACACATATATTTTGTTTTTTTAAGGCGGGTTTCTTCCCTAATGTGGGAAGTTCGATACATAGAGCATAATACACGAACATTTAATGAGCCTGGAAGCCCTATTGTGAAATCTGCTAAATTCGTGACTGATCTTCTTCTGCATTTTATAAAGTAAGTTATTTTTTCATACTTAATTATGATAGTTGTAATAATTGATGGCACTATAGTTCTTCTTAAATTAGAAAACATACTGTTTGTAAAAAAGCAGCATTTAAGAGTAGCTGAAATAGCTCAGTTGAAAGAGCATTAGACTGAAGATCTAAAGGTCCTTGGTTCAATCCCAGGTTTCAGAAGAAACATTTAGTTCATTAGCTAATATTAAGAATGAAATCAAGCCAGGCATGGTGGCTCACACCTGTAATCCCAGCACTTTGGGAGGCTGAGGAGAGCGGATCATGGGATTAGGAGTTCGAGACCAGCATGACCAACATGGTGAAACCCCCATCTCTACTTAAAAATACAAAAATTAGCTGGGTGTGATGGCACGCACCTGTAATCCCAGCTACTTGGGAGGCTGAGGCAGGAGAATTGCTTGAACCCAGGAGGTGGTGGTTGCAGTGAGCCGAGAGTGCAACCATTGCACTCCAGCCTGGGTAACAGAGTAAGACTCAAAAAAATAAAAAAATTTTAAAAAATGAAATAAAAAAAATTGCATTACCATTGTGTTTTACAGTTAGAAAACAGATTCTTTCCTCAACCTAATTGTTAGACAATAGTAATAGTAAAGATTTACTTAACATGTAATGTTTTACCTACATTAACTCTTTTAACCCAAATAATCTTATGGGTGGAAGTGATCAGTTCTGTAATTTTGAATTGAGGAAACTATGGCTTTTAGTGGTTATCATGTAAATAAATGAGTGTCTGCTGTCTGATTTGAGAAGTTTTCATCCTAACAGTATATTGCCCCTATCAAGTATATTAACAAGTATTTAAGTAGTCCAGCAAGAGACTGAATTTAACTTTCATGATTCTTCAAAATCAAGTTTACTTCCTCATTGATCCGATAGATAACAAGTGTGATAACCGCTATTTAGTAAGGCAGAATTACTTTCCCTTCCTTATCTTAAGGATTTTATGTAGTCGTAGAATGAATTGAGTCTCCTAGGTTGAAGGCAGAGAAATGAATTATATATTTTGTACCTAGACTGCTCTGATTCCATGTTATTTATATTCAATTTTTTTTTTCTGGTTGAGAAGTAGTAACAGTGCATTTTAAAAGCTAACTTACATAGCTATTATCAGCTTTCATTTTTAGATAATAAAAATTCAGGATTCATTTTTTTTTTTTTATAAATAAACATCCCTGCTTCATTCTCATTAATGAACATAATCTTTGGGTTCCTTTTTGATTAATGGTTTTAAACTGAGGAATGCAGATCATTTAAGTATAAAAAAACACCAAACATAATTAGTAAGGTAAATTTTGTATCCTTTCTCTACCTAAGAAATCCTTTGCTTTCCAAATGGTTTCGGGGCTACTATTGCCAGGCTTTTGTTTTTCATAGTGAAATTAGTAATTGTTATCCTCTGAAGACTCTTAAGGTCTGTAATTTTTTGTAAGTGTTATAACTATGTGTATGTATGTCTTTTTTTTTTTAAGAAAATCAGTAGAACTACATGACATAGTATATTCATATTTCAGTGAAATAATTTAGATGAAAATTGTTAATACATTTGGAATAGTCTGAAATGTATTTCTTTCAAACAGCTACTTTGAAATATCTTTGAAATCAGATTGATGTAATACTTAAGTATTTGGATTGTACATGCCTGAAAATAAATTGGTGGCATTTTTTTTTAAGATGTGTATAGTTTGTTTAAAAATATTTTTTATAGTGGATAGTTTTCAAGGTATCAAGTATTTGAAATTTTGATTATTGTACTTTTTTACTGAGTTATTTGACAAAATTTTGAGCAATTGATACATGCAAAGTAATGTAATGGATTCTTGGAGGTAGTATTTTTATCCTGTTAATACAGTTACATGGGATAGATAAGTCTGTAAGAAACTATAAGGAAAACTGACAAGTAATAAGAGAATTGTATATTCAGATACAGGGGAGGAGAAATACATTAAGACATTATATACAAGGTAGATACTGTTAGATTAAGGAAACATTAGATGAAAAGAAAGCCATTCCAGGGATAAGGAGTAGCATGAGGTAGGAAGATTTAATTAGGGTAATATAAATTGGGTGAAGTAGACAGTATATGAGTAGAAGTCATAGTAGAAATACAGTGCTATAAATTTGAGTTGGGGCCACATCTTGGGTGGCCTTGAGTGCCTGCCAGTCTAAGGTAGACTTTTAAAATATGAGTTCTGAGAGCAAGGGGCTGTTGCAACTATTTTAACATGAGAATAAAATGTTTTATACTGTTCCTTAAAAGTATTAATTTGACTGCAGTGTCTAATATTGACAGAGAAGAGACAAAAAGCATAAATAGCAGATTGACTGCTACAGTTGACCAAGTAAGAGGTGATGAGGGCTTAATTTATGGAAGTGAGAATGGGACAGATGCCCAGACACACTTGGGCATAGAGTTCACAGCAGTTGACCACTTACTGGGTTTATAAGGAGGAGGAAATGGAAGAAATAGTGAAAAACCAAGATTCCCATTACTGTAAGAATGGTATGTTGTTTAAAATAAATAGAAAAAGGAACAAGGTTATCCAGGGAGTCACTATTAAGTTTAGACGTGGAATTTTAGGTGATGGTAGGATGCTCAGGAGAAAGGTTAGAACACATTGCAGGAAGTTTGCATTTACACAGATAAACAACAAATATATAAAGTTATTACAGCAAAAGGTACAGTGTCAAGAGAAGATGCCTAAGAACAAAGTTGTAGGAAATACTTATTATAAAAGAAAGAGTTGGAAGTCAAGAAGTATATTAGCTGTTTGAAGACTGAGGAATGGAAGAAGTACAGCAGATACCTAAGGAAAGACTGGGATATGAGAATTGGGTTTGGTGTAATGTCATAGTCAGGCCGCACTGAAAGCTCTACATAGAGTGGAGGGGTCAGGGTCAAAGGTGTGTGCAAAAGTTAGTTGAATAAGCCTATGGAGAAGGCAAGACTTCAGTTTCAACTTTTATTTTAAAATATGGTTTTAGTTGGCCAGGCCCGGTGGCTCATCTGTGGTGGCTGCTGTAATCGCAGCCCTTTGGGAGGCTGAGGGGGGTGGGATCACCTGAGGTCATGAGTTCAAGACCAGCCTGACTAACGTGGAGAAACCCCATCTCTACTAAAAATGCAAAATTTGCTGTGCTTGGTGTTGGATGCCTGTAATCCCAGCTACTCTGGAGGTTGAGGCAGGAGAGTCACTTGAACCTGGGAGGCGGAGATTGCAGTAAGCTGAGATGGGCATTGCACTCCAGCCTGAGCAATAAGAGCGAAACTCCATCTCAATATACCACATATATATATATATATATTTTATATATAGATATAGTTATGTATATAAAACCATATATATGGCTATATATATGGTTTTAGGAACATATAAATGGTTTTAGGAAAAAATATTATCATGGCTCTAATCTTACATGTTAACATTTCCTTGTTATGTAGGGATCAGACTTGTTATAACATAATTCCACTTTATAATTCAATGAAGAAGAAAGTTTTGTCTGATTCTGAGGTATGTAATGTTTCATTATGATTACTGTATTGATAGTCATTATATAAAAAATTTACATATGGTAGTTTTCAGGTAAAAGCTATTGTGAAAATTATTTTTTTGTCTAGTGTAGTTAACTTTAAAAAAACTGGCATTAGAATATTCTTGTTATAGTTACAAATAATTTTTTAATGGGGGAAAACTTTTAAATGAGTCAGTAAAGTGTCCCAGCATATACATTACAGGTGTTCCAGTATGTAAAGGAAATAATTGCTAATTAATCAACTATAAAGTTTAATGAAATCTAAAACGTTTTATGAATCTGATAAATTCTTGCCTCAAAGGAAGAAGAGAAAGACACTGATATGCCAGGAACTTCTACTCGAAAAAGAAAGGTAATATAGTTTTAGTTTTAGCAGAAGTACTTTATATGAATTAAAATGTGTTAAGAGCTTTTCGCTTTTTTTTATTCTTAGCATTTTAAAAGACATTAAGTATTTCAAATTAGTTTCAACTACAAAATGCATGTTTTTCAGAACTTGGTTAATATTTTCTTTTATTTGAATTATTACATATTATCCAATTATCTAAGGCTGCATTAAAAATACAAATTTTATTGGGTAAGTGCTCTTTTACTAATGTATTTGAACGCTTTTATTGCAGGACCATCAGCCTAGAAGAAGATTACGTAATAGAGCCCAGTCTTACGATATTCAAGCATGGAAGAAACAGTGTGAAGAACTGTTAAATCTCATATTTCAATGTGAAGATTCAGAGCCTTTCCGTCAGCCAGTAGATCTCCTTGAATATCCAGTAAGAATTTTAGAAGTATTTGCTTCATTTGTCAGTTTGCTATTTATCTTTTATATGATAAGTGGCTATTTTAGTTATTTTTTATGATTATAGTTTATTTCTTTATTATACATGTTATCATCCATTTGGTTATGTAGAGAATTCAAATTTTGAATAGTGGGGTAAAATGGAAGGAGCCCTGAACTAAGACATTGTAAAAATTGGGTTATTCTTTTCCTACCAGTTGTGCAACTTTGAGCAAGTCCCTTACTTTTCTCGTTTGAATTTTTTTTTTTTGTTTACTTTTTTTATTGTCTTCCTTACATTGATTCCATGAATTTATTATGGCAGTTATCAAGGGAAAAAATAATAATACCTACCTCCTTATAGGATTATGGAGATGTAAAGAGAATACATAGTTTTTAAATGTGAAGCACTGTATATCAATGTAAGGTGACATTATTGTATATATTTAGGTTAGGCCAATGTATGATCTTTATGGAATACATGGTAAAAAGAGCTAAGTAAAGATGATCTAAGTATTTATTTTGGCATGCAATCATAGCAATCTGAATTTAGTGTAGAGTGATTTCTCATCCCTTTAAAGAGTAATTAAATGTTACACATTTCAGATAGCATTCATAGTTTGAAATGAATATAAAAAATGTTTTATAAGACATAATGACCTACATGTGGTATCATCAGATATCATTACCTGTTTTTTTTATAAGTGTTACAAATTTCATCAACAGATAAATATCAAAAAATGACTTTTTTCTTGTCATTTAAAATACCAGAAACATAGAATGTGGAAGAGAAGTTTTTAATTCCAGTAATATGATAAATTGAGCTAATTTGAACCTCACCTTTCAAAAAAAAAACCTAGGACTGAGCTGTTGCTATAATGTTCTGGCTTTCAGTTCTCTCTTTGTTTTCACAACTTACAAATTTTGCTTTGGTTCTTGGATGCTCAACTATGTATGCTTTTAAAAAATAAGTTTCAGTTTATTCATTGTTTTAGGTCTTTATATTCTGGGCTTTACACTGAAAAGAAGGGATAGAAATAAGACAATGTTTATCTTCTAGAGGCACAAGTATTATTACTATATAGAGATAATTAAGGCCTTGGGTGGTGGTGAAAAAGGAATTTGGAGCTGAAACCCAACCCTAAACCAGAAGTATTGAAGAACTGCTTCCTGAATGAAAAGAAGAGTTGAATAATTCCTTTCACAACAAAGAATGTTTCTCCCAGTGACTCTAGTGTCAGGGAAGAGAAATTTTCCTAAACTTACGCTATACATGGACTTAGAATCCAAATTTGCATTACTCTTATGTAGAAATCCATTATGGAAAAAAATGTTAATCCTTACTGAATGAACTAATGGTTAAAAAAAAAAAAACACCTATATAAGGGAGTGATCCACCATGTATATATAAGACAACAGAAATGGAAATATTAGTACCCTCTCCCCAAAAATTTGAGTAATAGATTATTCTCAAATACCATACTTAATTAAAATAAAGATGACATTCATTATAAGATGACTTATGTACCACCAACAAAAACGAAATGCTGTGAGTTAAACTTTGATACATAATTTTGGATAAAGGAAGAAATGGAAGAATAAGAAATGGGAAAAATATGTTATTTGAGAGGAAAAGAGAGAATACATATTAAAATCAACTAAATAGAATTCTGGAAATGAAATGTAAAATTACTGAAATTAAACTTACTGGACAGTTTTAAAAACAGATTAAAGATGTAATAAGTATAAAGATCTAAGCAAATTCTACAGAATGGCACACGGAATGATAAAGAGATGAAGAGCCTGAAGGGAGAGTCTTGGTCTGTTGCCTGGCTGGAGTGCAGTGGCGCAATCTTGGCTCACTGCAGTCTCCACCTCCTGGGTTCAAGCAATTCTCCTGCCTCCGCCTCCTGAGTAGCTGATGTTACAAGCATGTGCCACCACACCCAGCTAATTTTTGTATTTTTGGTAGAGATGGGGTTTTACCAGATTGGCCAGGATGGTCTCCATCTCTTGACCTCATGGTCCACCCACTTCAGCCTCCCAAAGTGCTGGGATTACAGGCATGAGACACCACACCCAATGGCCAAGAATTTTTTAGGATTGGTAGACATTTGACAAACTATGATTCCTGATCAGGATATCCAAGAATAAAATCTTTACGTAGAATAAGAGTAAAAACATAAAAAAATCAACAGTTGGAAGTCAAAAAGAAAATATTAAAACAGTCATACAGAAAAAATGGAGGAGACCTGGGACTGCTCCAAGCCACTCACTTACTGATGTTGAACAGAGACTCAGCTCTCCAAGATGTATAGACAAAGCTGTTAGCTGTTTATTTGTAGCAATTTATAGACAAAGCCACAATGGGCACCTGTATTCCTTATATCCAGTGCAAAACAGTATCCAGACAAAAACAGTAGAAAAGAAGAAAAAACTTAAACCAAATAACAGCAAACAGAATTCAGGAATATATTAAAAAATGATTGTATGCCATGACCAAGTGATATTTATTCCAGAGATACAAAGATGGTTCACTATTCAAAAATTAGTCAGTGTAATCCATCATATTAATAGGTTAACGAAGAAAAATCTCATGATCATGTCAAGTAATAACAGAAAGAGCATTTGATAAAATTTCACACCCATTTTTTCTGTGAATATGCATTTTGGTTATGGTAAAGTCAGTGTGGTCACAGGAGGAAATTAAAAATAAACCTTGGAAGGAAGACATTTATTATACTTAAGAGTCCCAGGCTGGGCATGGTGGCTCAGACCTGTAATTTCAGCACTTTGGGAGGCCAAGGCAGGTGGATCACTTGACCTCATGAGTTTGAGACCAGCCTGGACAACATGGCAAAACCTTGTCTTTACAAAAAATTAGCCAGGTGTGGTGGCATGCACCTGTAGTCCCAGCTGTTCATGAGACTGAGGTGGGAGGATTGCTTGAGCCTGGGAGGTAGACATTGCAGTAAGCCAAGATCACACCACTGCACTCTGGCCTGGCAATAGAATGAGACCCTATCTCATAAGAAAAAAAAAGTTAAAAAGTGTGTCAGAAAAGTAAGAGGTCACCACTTGCCACACAGGGCCACTGGGGAAGTGCTAGGTTTTGGTTGGGTAGGAGAGACCAAAACTAGGGAAAAGCTTAGAAATCCTTTATTGGGGTTTCTACAGGAAATGCAAGGTAGGTTACAGTAAACAGCTTATTATTGGCTAGTTTGAATAATTCCAGTGGTCTCTAATTGTCTGGTTCTGGCCCTGGGATGATTTAAAACAGGAAAACACAGCTTAGTGTGTGAGAGTGAGAAAAGAAGCTGATTGGGGCTTTATACTTGGGATTCATTGGTATGTATATGAAAGACATGTTCTCAGTGGAGCCCCTCACTAAGAATTGGATGCCCCAGGTTTGTAAGTCCCCCAGGTACCTGATCATCATTGGCCCTGTGAATAGGTGGCAAATAGACAAATGCAGAATCAGAAGAAACAAGGTGTTATTCATTATAACCTTATAAAACCCTAAGAAAACTAGGAATAAAGGAAAACACCCACAACTTGATAAAAGTACATCTATAAAAAAAGCCTAGAGCTAACATCATGTTTACTAGTGACAAACTGAGTGCTTTTCCCCTAAGAATTAGGGATGACTGAAAAATGTTCAACCTCATCACTGCTATTCAACATAGTACTGGAAATGTTAGCCAATGCAATAAGGCAAGAAGAGTAAATAAAAAGTATACATTAGGAAGAAATAAAAATTTTTAAAGGCAACAGTTCTGTCTTATATGGCAGCTTCTTCATTGTCAGACATATTTAATCATAATTTAACTTGATGCTGCAAAGTCAAGTTGTTACACTTCAAAAAAAATGCAATTGCATACTCAGGGAGTATTGAAAAGGTGCAGGCCAGGTGTGGTGGCTCATGTCTGTAATCCCAGCACTTTGGGAGGCCAAGGCAGGCAGGTCATTTAAGCCCAGGAGTTTGAGACCAGTCTGAGCAACTTAGTAAGACCCCATCTCTATAAAAAATAGCTGGGCGTGGTAGCACCTGCCTGTAGTCCCTGTTAACTTGGGAGGCTAAGGTGGGACAATTGCGAGTCTGTGACGTCAAGGATGCAGTGAGCTGTGATGGCACCAACTGCACTCTAACCTGAACAACAGCAGGACTGTGTCTCCCAAAAAACGTGGGGGGCGGGCATGGGGGTGGTGTACAATACTTTTTGTCCGTTGTAAAAAAAAATGCCATATACTGATAATTTTAGAATGATATACCATACTATGATAATTTTCTGTTGCTCTTCGTCTTTCATTGTGTGTTTTTATTGGTTCCAGTCTGTTACCTTATTTTATGCTCAGTTGACTAGGTAGACACCTCAGGTGATTCTACCTCTCGAAATGACATGCATAGACTTTGTGACAACGTTCACAATTCTTGATTACTGCAAAGCAAAGCTCCCAATTGTAATGCTGAAGTTGAGATTACTAGAACTTAGGTGTCCACATAAATGGGATGTTGGTAGACTTCCGTTGTTTTTATTTCCAAGTTACAGTTGTGTTTCAATGAGTCAGACTTTTAGAATTTATAAATAGTATAAAGTTTTGAGTTTTTCCTTCATACTTTGGGTCGTAGAGCTGGGGTTTTTCCTTACTCTTTTACTTTCCCTTTTCCTATACAATCATCCCCCAGGTCTCTAGCGAAAAATTAATAACTTCTACATTCTTGAATAATTCTTACTGATTTCAATATAAGGGAGAGAATATGAAATAAAAAAGAATTACTAGAAAAAAGGGACTCTTGATAAGGGGAACAGGAGTGATTATTAACAGTTCTAGGACTTGTAGTCATCATAAAAATCCAATGTGAATCCTTGTTCTGAGAAGTGATGCTTTGTGGTAGTAATAATCATGATAACACCACCTATTTTCCCTCTTGTAGGACTACAGAGACATCATTGACACGCCCATGGATTTTGCTACCGTTAGAGAAACTTTAGAGGCTGGGAATTATGAGTCACCAATGGAGTTATGTAAAGATGTCAGACTTATTTTTAGTAATTCCAAAGCATATACACCAAGCAAAAGATCAAGGGTATATAATTAAATTATTTTCTTTTATGACTAGATTAAGTTAGAGGATTATGTTAGGTGACTAAATGTTGCTTTTACTTAAAATTTAGATCAAAGTCTACTTTCTGTTATGTTCTTAATGGTGTCCTAGTAGAAAAAGAATTTATAACTTTATACTCAGCCCCTTCTATGAAATAAGACTGATGTTATCTTTGATGTCTGGGAGTGGTTACTTATCTGGAAGTAGTGTGATTGAATAGATAGATGTAAATTGTCCTGGTATGCACCAGAGCCATCTGGGCTTAACTTTTCTGGCTATTATCTGCCTTTATGGAGCATTTTTGTGAATGATTTATACAAATAAGTAAAAATATAAATATAATTTAACACTCTTTAACCAGACATGACATCGGAAAGGAGTGCTATATATAGCAATGAAATGAGAAAGAATAGAAGCTAGTGCTAGGTAGAAAACAGGTTCAAACCTTTGGAATAGTTACAGTGTAATAGAGTTGACAGTAAGGAGTTCTGTCTGTGTGTGAGCCACTTCAGTTTAGAGTTGGAATCTCAAAACTTGGAAGATCCCTATTCTAAACACAAAAATACTTATTGTTAAAATGTCACTTTATTTTTTTATCAAAAGATTAGGAAAAAGGGATGTGAAAAGCAATATTTAAATTCTAAAGAGTTTTTACTAGAAAAATGCTTACAATATTTACTGAACAAAGGTATTTTCCTTTGAGGAATGTTTGAACACTATTTTTGTCCTCACAGATTTACAGCATGAGTTTGCGATTATCTGCTTTCTTTGAAGAACACATTAGTTCAGTTTTATCAGATTATAAATCTGCTCTTCGTTTTCATAAAAGAAATACCATAACCAAAAGGAGGAAGAAAAGAAACAGAAGCAGCTCTCTTTCCAGTAGTGCTGCATCAAGGTATTTAATTTCTTTTAGATACCACTAACTGATCTATAACTTTCATCTAAATGATAGAACTTGGTGTTTTTTTAATACTTCCTTTACTATTCCCTATATTGCAGAATGATATATTTGACATGCAAGTTCCTATGATGTGGAGGATTTTTAATCTTTTAACTAAAGCTATACTAGTGTAAGTGCTTAAATTCAAACTGCTAAATCTATACAGTAAAACAGCATTTTTAGGGTAGTGATGGCATCATGCTTTCCGTCATATAACTTTAGCATTTACAGCGATCCTTCACTAAATATTCACTTTCAAAGGCTCACAATCATATGAAATCCACTACAAATCTCATATTTTAACATATTTCATAATAGTACAAATATTGAATCCAACAGTATTGTAAAACTGTTTCATTCATTCACATAGAGCTGTAAGAGTGACTGATAGTATTATTTTATTTACAGCCCTGAAAGGAAAAAAAGGATCTTAAAACCCCAGCTAAAGTCAGAAATCTCTACCTCTGCATTCTCTACACCTACACGATCAATACCACCAAGACACAATGCTGCTCAGATAAATGGTAAAACAGAATCTTGTTCTGTGGTTCGAACCAGAAGCAACCGAGTGGTTGTAGATCCGATTATCACTGAGCAACCATCTACTTCTTCAGCCACAAAAACTTTTATTACAAAAGCAAATGCATCTGCAATACCAGGGAAAACACGTAAGACTCACTTTCTAAATTAAAATGTGTATGATGATTGTCTTAAACTTTTACTTTATCAAATGTAATATGCTGGGTTTTAGTAATTTCTAGAGACACTGTTGTTTTTGCCATTGTTTTCCTGTTAAAAAATTTTTTTGAGGTTTAGATCATTATAGACTAATGCTTAAAAATGGCAACTCTGATCTAAACTACCTGAATTTAAATTATAGTACCCATAGTAGCTAGCAATTTGGCAAGGCTTGCCTTTGTAATTTTGAAATGATGGGACAGCTTCTAACAGGGCTGAAACTCTTAAGAGTTTCTAGTTGGATGTGCCTTTTTCCTATTAGAAAGTATATTTCCTAAGAAAGCTTTAAGCATCCTTCAGGTTTTGTCATCTTGACTGATTCAGATCATTTAGATGAATGTTTTTTCTTATCTTTAGGTTCAATAACTCTTAATCTTTAACTTTTTGTATGTGTGTTTCAGTACTAGAGAATTCCGTGAAACATTCCAAAGCTTTAAATACTCTTTCCAGTCCTGGTCAATCCAGTTTTAGTCATGGCACTAGGAATAATTCTGCAAAAGAAAACATGGAAAAGGAAAAGCCAGTCAAACGTAAAATGAAGTCATCCATACTCCCAAAGGCATCCACTCTTTCAAAGTCATCAGCTGTCATTGAGCAAGGTAATGTGGTATTTTCAAGATACAGTAGATCCTTCTTAAAAATGATGCTTTTGTTGGAATTAGTATTTATTTATATCCACTTTTCAGTGCCCACTTAAAAGTCACACATCTGTATTAGTTGATAAATTTACTGCAGTGAGCTAGGATTGTGCCGTTGCACTCCATCCTTGTCAGTAAAATGATGCCCTGTCTAAAAAGAAAAAAAAAAGGAATATATCAAAGTTTAAATTAAATAGGATATAGTTGACCCATTGTGGCATTCTTAACTTTTTTAGAAAAATGTTTAAATAGGCTGGGCACGGTAGCTCACGCCTGTAATCCCAGCACTTTGGGAGGCCAAAGCGGGCGGATCATGAGATCAGGCATTTGAGACCAGCCTGGCCAACATAGTAAAACCCCATCTCTATTTAAAATAAAAAAAAAAATACAAAAATTTAGCTGGGCATGGTTGTGGGAGCCTGTAATCCCAGCTCAAGGCTGAGGAAGGAGAATCCCTTGAACCTGAGAGGCAGAGGTTGCAGTGAACTGAGATCATGCCACTGGACTCCAGCCCAGGCAACAGTGTGAGACACTGTCGCCAAAAAAAAAAAAGGTGAAATAATTATTGGATCACTAAACTACTTATTTTTCTAGATGGACTTTTACTAAGTACTGCATTAGGGTTGTCTACAACTGTAGAATACAACTTTTGACTCCTTTTATACTTCAAGTTCTTTCAACTTAAGGTTTTTTGTTGTAAAATCTTTATGTTTGAAAGATGGGGAAAGTAAATAATAAAATATAGCATATGACATGTTAAAATAGTATATGGCTTCTTGGCAGCAGACAGCCTAATAATAAGAATTTCGCATCATGACTTTCATAGTATGTCTGAGACATTTCTTCTTCATTGTTGTGTTCAGAAAGCTCTCTCAAAATTTAATTTCCCTACTGAAATGTCCTCATTTTGGTTAATGGCGTTGGGATCTATCTATGTAAATTTAAAATCAAGGAGTCATCCTTTGCCTTCTGTTAATCAACTGAATCTGTTCAACTGTTTGTTTTTGTTGTTTTAGTAACGTCTCTTAAATATTCTTGCCTCTCCATTCTCACCTCCATGATCTTATTTCAAGGCTTATATAATTTCTTGCCTGGACTAGTTTCCTAAGTGGTCTTCCTGCCTCAGTTTTCAACTCTTTCTTACCCAGTTCCTTTCCCACATTGCAACCAAAGTGATCCTTGTGATTATTTCTCTCTACCACATGTGCATGTGTGCACATAGACACAAAGAAAATCCTTCCTTGCCTCAAATGATATATTGAAACAGATTTTAAATTTTTTGCCTGTTACCACAGTACTCTGTTACTTGGCTCCTGCCTAACACTGCAGGTTCTTTTACCTTCTTTCTCTCTTCTGTATCCTGCCATACTAAACACTTATAAGTTCCAGAGTCTTTGTTCTTTTCTTCTTTTGCTGGGATGTCTTTTTTCCCCCCTAGTTTAATGGTTTGTTGCCTTTTGTGTCTTGCTTAAAATATCATCTTATTTAGGAAGTCTTCTCCTGGCTTCTTTAGATAAAATCAAGCACTTCCATCTTTTTTTAAAGACAGGATCTCACTTTGTCACCCAGGCTGGAGTGCAAGGGCCTGATCTCCATTCACTGCATATTCTGCCTCACAGGTTAAAGCGATTTTCCTGCCTCAGCCTCCCAAGTAGCTGGAATTATAGGTGTGTGCCACCACCCTGGCTAATTTTGTATTTTTAGTAGAGAAAGGATTTTGCCGTGTTGACCAGGCTAGTCTCAAACTTCTGGCCTCTAGTGATCTATCTGCCTCTGCCTCCCAAAGTATTGGGATTTCAAATGTGAGTCACCACACCCAGCCAAGCACTTCCATCTTTATGTCCCAGAAAACCGTGTTCATTACCTTTGGTGGTACTTACAATGTTGATCAAATTATTCTTTTTCACATGTCTATATCTCCAGAAGATTCTGAGCTTTTATTGACTCATTTTTAATGACCATTATATAGAAGATAGTAAGTTTTTGAATAAATAAGAAAAGTACTTTGCATATGTATGTTTCACATTTGTAATGTCTGCTCTTTCTGAACTGAATTTAGAGTTTGAATAGTATATTGGCCTTGCTTCTATTCATTCATGAATCCTAGAGAAATCAATTATATATGGTAAATTGGTTCTAGCATTGTGATAGGGGAGATCTGGTCTCATAGCCAATTTGATTTATAATTTTTGAGTATTACAAATACTCAAGTACTGCTACTGTGTAGAAATACCATTATTATTATCTGTTAGGTAACCTTAACAGTGATATATTATTTAAAAATGACACCTAAATTACCTATTTAGAATCAAGCAGTGTTGTCTAGTGGAATATAATACAAGCCAAATAGGTAATTTAAAATTTTCTAGCCACCATGTTTAGTAAAAACAAAGAGGTCATGACTAAAACACCAAAAGCATTGGCAAGAAAAGCCAAAATAGACAAATGGGACTTAACTAAACTCTAGAGCTTCTGTACAGCAAAAGAAGCAATAATCAGAGTGAACCAGCAACTAACAGAATGGGAAAAAATTTTTGCAATCTACTCATCTGACAAAGGCTTAATATCCAGAATCTACAAAGAACTAAAACAGATTTACAAGAAAAAAACAAACAGACCCATCCAAAGGTGGGCAAATGATATGAACAGATAGATACTTTTCAAAAGAAGACATATATGAGGCCAACAAACATAGGAAAAATGCTCATCACTGATTATTAGAGAAATGCAAATCAAAACCACATTGAGATACCACTTCATGCCAGTTAGAATGGCGATCATTAAAAAATCTGGAGACAACAGATGCTGGAGAGGATATGGAGAAATAGGAACACTTTTACACTGTTGGTGGGAGTTTAAAGTAGTTCAACCATTGTGGAAGACAGTGTGGCAATTCCTCAAGGACCTAGAAATAGAAATTCTATTTGACCCAGCAATCCGATTACTGGGTATATACCCAAAGGATTATAAATCATTCTATTGTAAAGACACATGCACACGTATGTTCATAGTGGCACTGTTTACAATAGCAAAGACCTGGAACCAACCCAAATGCCCATGGACGATAGACTAGACAAGGACAATGTGGTGCATATACACCATGGAATACTGTGCAGCCATAAAAAACAATGAGATTGTGTCCTTTGTAGGGACATGGATGAATCTGGAAACCATCATTCTCAGCAAACTGACACAAGAACAGAAAATCAAACATTGCATGTTCTCACTCATAGGTGGGTGTTGAACTGTGAGAACACATGGACAGAGGGAGAGGAGCATCACACACTGGGGTCTTGGGTGGGGGAGGCCAAGGGAGGGATACTCGGGGGTGTGGAGTGGGGAGGTTGGGGAGGGTTAACATGGGGAGAAATGACAGATGTGGGTGATGCGGGGATAGAGGCAGCAAACCACATTGCTACGTGTGTACCTATGCAACAATCCTGCATGATCTGCACGTGTAATCCAGAACCTAAAGTCCAATTAAAAAAAAAAACAAACAAACATTTAAAATTAGTTGTAACACTGTATTATATCCAAAATGTTATTTCAGTGTTTAGTCAATGTTTTAAAGTGTATACTTCTTTCACACTTACATTGAAATTTGATTAAAAATTTAGTTCCTAAGCTGTGTAACTTTTCACATGCCCAGGACAACACAACACGGTTGCAGATCAGTGATTTATAAACTTAAAAAACAACAACAAAAACAAAACTTCTGAATTCCTTTTTTTTTTTTTTTTTAAATAAAGACGGGGTTTCACCATGTTGGTCAGGCTGGTCTTGAACTCCCGACCTCAGGTGATCCGCCCGCCTTGGCCTCCAAAGTGCTTGGATTACAGGCATGAGCCACCACACCCAGCCTGAATTCCTTATGAAAGCTGCATTCATGCATTCCTTCTTAACCTTTTTACATTATATATTGCTTTATAAATTTGATGAGACCTATAGTCCCTGCCCCAGAAAAATGTACATAAACATATCCAAACACAATGTTGGACCATTTCAAGGGATTCATGTAGTGTAGGTACAGGTACTGGATATTTAGAACCCTTGTAGTAGTCATAATGCAAAACAAAAGAGATTTGCAGAATCCTCAAGCAGTTTAAATGTCAGTTGCTCCATGGGAAATGCTTATTCTTTTATGTCCACACCTACATTTTTACCCAACCACTAATCTAAAGAGAGTCATTTCACTGTGGGGTGGGTCAGGAAATGAAAGCTGTGCATTTTCTCTCTACTACTTGGCTCTGATGTTTGGTGGGTTTCCCAATCATGATTTTTTTTTTTTTTTTTTTTTTTTTTTTTTTTTTACGCAATCTTGCTCTTGTCGCCCAGGCTGGAGTGCAGTGGCGTGATCTAGGCTCTCTGCAGCATCCGCCTCCCCTATTCAAGCGATTCTCATACCTCAGCCTCCTGAGTAGCTGGGATTACAGGCACCCGTTACCATGCCCAGCTAATTTTTGTACATCTAGTAGAAATGGGGTTTTGCTGTGTTGGTCAGGCTGGTCTCGAACCCCTGACCGCAGGTGATCCTGCCCGCTTCAACCTTGCAAAATGCCGGGATTACAGGCATGAACCACCAGGCCCAGCCAACCATGATTTTCTTATTTACAAAGTACAGTTCAAACCTGTGACCAAAAAAAGTGTTGTGAGGAAGTACTCTCTTTAAAAGCAGTTTTCCGTCTATGAATTTCCTAAAAAATAGTGCATTGCAAATCACCTACCATTTAAAATAAAAACATGTCAGAAATTTGGAGGGAAAAAGAGTGTTACTGTTCCTATGGCATATTTTTCCTTTATCTAAATCACAGAATTTTTTTCTACAGCAGAAACGTAATTCATGATCTCTAGATCGTACAGGTTTAGAAATTGATTGTCAGCATTTTCTCTCTTTTTTTGTTTTTTGAAGCATAACGGCCTTGTATCATGGAGTTTGTTACAGTGGGATCTTAATCATGATAATGGTGGCACACATGGTGATTTTGATTGATATATATAATCAGTATTTCCTAGGATTATAGTTATCATATATTATATAAGGAGATAAGACTAAGAAGCCTCTGAAGAAAATCTGCCATTTAGTTGTTTTTGAATCCTCTTGAAACAGTCTCAGAACAAAGTTTGTGACCAAGAGTAACTTATTTCTAAGTTAGGAATAAGAAACCTTTGGTTATCCCAGCTTTATAATCAATCACAATATTAACTTAGATAAGTTATTTATTTTCTGTGAGCTTCACCTCCCTCATGAGATCATTAAGAATCTCTCTTTTAAATTAGAAAATAAATAATATCATTGAGCTGTTTCTAGGTCCTTTTTTCCTCATTTTAATGAAATAATTTGGGTTATATCATTACATATAAGTATACCAATGGGGCCTTATTGACAAGTTTGAGGGTCAAACAACAAAATAAATTCCATATATTAAGTATATTGTTGTTCCCTTTTAGGAGATTGTAAGAACAACGTTCTTGTACCAGGAACCATTCAAGTAAATGGCCATGGAGGACAGCCATCAAAACTTGTGAAGAGGGGACCTGGAAGGAAACCTAAAGTAGAAGTTAATACCACTAGTGGTGAAATTATACACAAGAAAAGGGGTAGAAAGCCCAAAAAACTACAATATGCAAAGCCAGAAAATTTAGAGCAAAACAATGTGCATCCCATCAGAGATGAAGTAGTTCCTTCTTCAACATGCAATTTTCTTCCTGAAACTAATAATGTAAAAGAAGATTTGTTACAGAAAAAGAATCGTGGAGGTAGAAAACCGAAAAGGAAGATGAAGACACAAACACTAGATTCAGATCTCCTAGTCCCTGCAAGTGTCAAGGTACTAAGGAGAAGTAACCGAAAAAAGACAGATGATCCTATAGATGAGGAAGAAGAGTTTGAAGAACTCAAAGCCTCTGAACCCCACATGAGAACTAGAAACCAAGGTCGAAGGACAGCTTTCTATAATGAAGATGACTCTGAAGAGGAGCAAAGGCAGCTGTTGTTTGAAGACACCTCTTTAACTTTTGGAACTTCTAGTAGAGGACGTGTCCGAAAGTTGACTGAAAAAGCAAAAGCTAATTTAATTGGTTGGTAACTTGTACCAAAATATTTTACTTCAAAATCTATAAAGCAGGTACAGTTAAGGAATAAGTAGAAAGAAGGCTTCTGCTTCCTTGCTGCTATGGTGGAGTAGGGAATGTTATCATTTAATTTGCAAAAAAAAAATAAACAAAAGCAAAACAAAAAAAAAACTTACAAGACACTTCACTTCTTTAAATGAATATATATATATAAATATATACATATATATTTTAAATGTTTGCTATTTATTGCCCTTAGATAGGTTATGCATTTTCACATTCATTTCATTCACTGTTTGAAACAAAAGAAATTGATCTATAATGATTTCCCTGATTTATTTATAGAAAAGACAGTTCTGCTACACTCTTTAGGAGCATAATATTCCTAGTGATAGAGCATTTCATGTTAAAATGAATCATTTTTGACCAAGCAAGGTACATTTCTATTGATACAAGTCATGCCTCTAAAAACAGATGTTATACAGAGTAGCAGTGAATTAAGAAATGTTTCCTCTAAAACATAAATACAAAATTTCCACCATTTGCTACCCTTAAAAGTTTAATTTTAATTATAGAATGTTCATCTGCAAAGTATCTAAAGGAGGCTTTTGCTTTATTCCATTTCTGCCAAACTTAAGAGAAAATGTACTGATGAAGGGAAACATATCCACATTGGAAAACGTTTGACTGTCTAATTTTTCAGACCTTGATTCTTATATCACTCAATCTCTGTTTATTGTGCCAAAGACTGAGAATCAGTGCAGTGGAAAGCCTGTTTTTGACTGTCAGGACAGCATACACTTTTCGATATTGGAAAGGCTATATATTCTAAAGAGCAAGTTATTAAAGAGTTGTGCTGAGATATATCTTTTTTTGGTACTAATAGAAAATAATGCACTGGTGGGTCCTTTGACAGAGATGTTATAGAGGAAATGTTTAAGTGGTTAAAGGATTCAAGGAAAATACAGGAAAAAAGGTATGGGATTTGATGTTTACTTGTTGATCTGGATTAATGTCATTTCTAAACTGTAGACATATCTAATAGGCTAAAATGACTTAACAAAGAAACATGTCTGTGTGTGTATGTGTATATATTGATAAATGGGTATAATTAAATATATATACAAACACATACTTATATACTATTACCCAGGTATAAATTCTTTTTTCAGGATTTTTTAGATAGCAGTAGAATAAAAATAATTTTAAAATGTCATACTTTATAGTTTGATTTTAAGGGAGAAATTGGTTATTTTCAATTATTAAAGGTTAAAATAGGCCAAATCACTTTTTATGCAATCATGTTTTATACAGTGGTCTCATTGCACATTGTGTTTTTTCTGCACTTTTTACGGTATCCTTATCATGCTGGTATGTCAATATACACCCTAAAGAAAAACTCCATTTAATGATTGTGCCTTGTATTCTATTATTTTTTGCATCATTAGTAAAATTAAGTTGTCTATTGTAAATGATAACTATATGACTTAGGAGAATGTATTGCTATATGTACTGCTATGGAAAAGGAAAGCAGTTATTTATTTGTTTATGGTACAGTTAGTTATTTTATACCTTAAAAACCAACATAACTACCATTTCTATTGTTTAAAAATTACTGTCCATTTTTTAAAAAATTTAAAGAATGTAGTATTTTCTGAGGACTGGTATGGTACAAAAATGTAACCAAAATTTTCAGATACTACATTTTTAAGAAGTGAGGATGGGGAAAATATGTATCAGCATGACTCTGATGTGGAAAAATAAAGTCTGCAATTGAACCTTGGCAAAATACATTATATAATATTTCTTTAATTATTTCTGATAAGGATAAATATTAGCTGTCATTTAACTGTCTTGAAGAATGCAAAGTGATACATTTGGGCTTTCTAGATCATTTGTAACTCAATTTGTACAGAAATTCTCCTGTGAAATTAAGTAAACCATCTTCCAGATCTTGACTGCATTGCTGTGATTTTGCAGTTAAAAAATAATTTCAAAATTTTCAGATTTTTTGTATATTTATTTTTCTCTAACAAATATATTTAACTATAAAATTAAAATTCAATAGTTACACTCTTCGTAATGCAGAAATGGTTGGCTGGATTGTATAGAAAAATGAGTCTTTCAGTTACACCGTTCTTGAAAATAATAGTGTATGTTTGAAATTTGTCGTTATTAGTTGCTTTTGAAGGCAATCTATTTGGAATATGTAATTTCCTGATGTTATCTGCATTGTGTTAGAAAAAATAGGCTATAAAATCAATTTTTGTAAAAAAAAATGTACAGTTTTAAGTTGTGTACAGAAAAAGGAAGACCATACACAGTCTTAGAGTGGAATATACGTCTAGTACAGTGTATGTGTTAATTCCAACTCTTGAGCAAAGAAATGAGTATTTACCATCTTTCCTATGACACATAAATGTATTATTCGTGTTCTAAAGACACTGTATATTTATGACCTTATTTGGACATTATTAGACACTGGTTTCTTAGTAAAGCACAGTAACTTGGATCAGATTCTTTGTAATTGAAACACTTAAACATGTATTAGTAATACCAATATATTTAGATTTTATATTTTTATAATTTAGCTTCTATACATTGCAAAAGTTGAATTAAGAAATTTAAGTCATCACCATATTTTTGTTTTCTTCACCACTTGGGAAAATAATCCTCTTTGAGGCAGTAACACTTTGTATGTACTGTTGATAGGCCAGAAAGAAATGTTGGCAGTTGTCTTAGGTGAGCAATAAAAACATCTCAAATTTACTGAAAGTTCAGAAATAAAACTGTTAGATGCATGGAAGGTGTAAACCACTTTAGGTATTTCTAAGTACCCAATCCTAATATTCTCTTTCCCAACTCCAACATTCTCAAGTCCCAGATGAAAAGTTTAAAGTTTAAGTGGCGCATTAGTTTAAATATTCAGTCTAATCAGAGACTCACAACCCTGGGCAATAGATATATAGCTTTTTAAAATGTTAGCCTTTGTGACTTGCTGTAGTGGCATTGGACTGTTTTCTGCATGTATTATGAACTGAAGATTTTTTGGCCTTGTTTAAATTGTTTTAATTGCACAGCTTCACTACAGATTTAAAGACTGTTGGTTGGCATTATTATAAAACTGTCTTCCTCCTTTAATGTAAGCAAATAATTGTACAGAATATTTGTGAGCTGGATTAGGTCACATCTGAGACTTGGGGTTGGCTAAATTTAGTTATCACTTGGAATTGAATTCCATAAGATACAGTGATCAGAGAAGATATCTTTGTGCAGCATGTATGTTAACATCTAGAACTGTCCCTCATCTGCAGTGCAGTAGATTAATCAGACATTTTAGGAAATGTATTCAGATATCATTTTTATCTTGTATGTTAGCAGCATTTACATGTTTTCAAATATGATTTGTACTATAAATTAATTTCTCCAGTTAACTGTTTACTTCAATTCTGACATTCCATTTTATACATATATACATACTGTATATCTCTTTCAAAGGTCAGCTAGAAGTAATTTTTTCTGTTTTCTATCTATGAAAACAGATTTATTCTGAATGTTTTTGTTCACCTGAAACTTATTTTTGAGTAGGTTGAAAGGACCAAGATACTTGAGTGATTAAAGGGCTATAAGAGTTCTGCTTATATGCAGGAGTTACACGATTTTAAAAGTCATAATAGGGGAAGTCATTTTATCATCTGTTTACCCCTATTAACCTAAAAAGTATTTCTAACGTAACAGATTGAGCAGTGGTTTTGTTAAACTTAGAATTGATTTTTTCATTAAAATTTGAAATTTTAATTATACTTTTCTTTGCTTCTATTCTTGTACTTTCTATTAGTTACCCTAATTTCCAGGTGATCCGAACTAAAATTAATACTACATTTACTAAGAAACTATTTTTGTTAATTATACTAAGCAAAGTGCTACAAATGAACAGTCATTATGCACTAAGTATAGTACCAAGAAAAGGTCAAATTGAGTCAGAAGACTGTAAGTACCACTTTTGGCGCTCCAGAGATAAACCTTGTACACACTGCAGTAAAACAGTAAAGAATATGAGCTATAGATAACTATTTTTAGTTTTGATAGCTCTGTGTTGAAATACTTTTTTAATGCAGATAAAATTATCAGGAAATTAACCTTATGGCACAGACCAAATATGTAGTAGTGCATGGCTAAGTTTCTACAATTGAAGGCGCCAAGAAAATAGGTTCAAGATGGAATATAATACACATGCATATAAGGCAGATGCACACATGCTGGTTACATTAAGATTGTGTGTGTTGATTAGTCACAATGATAGACTATAAAATGAGACAATACAAAGTTACATTTTTGGACCATATTAAAACTGTAAGAAGACAAGGGTTTTTTTGAAGATCTTAGAAAACTTAAATCCTGTCATAGGATATTTAGACGTGTAGAATGTAGCTCAATTTTTTAAAAGTAACTGACCTAGAGGGTGAAAGTTGAAACTGACACATTTTCAAATTAAAATTATGCTTATTTTGTACAGAAAACAATGTTTAAACACAAGCAGATCTGTTGTATGTAACCAGTAACACAGAGTTTAAAAAGAAATTAATTATTTAGCTTTATTGAAGTTTGGTTTTTTTCCTTCCGAACCTGGAGTATCATAAACAGCAGTCTCACACCAGAATAGCAGTGCCCTTTCTTTTTGTACATATTGATTGGACCTTTCTTGACTGTTACGTGGACACTTTCTATGTTAGTTTTGATGCATAATTCTTTGAATCCTTTTATACAAACTAGAATGTATGTGTAAGAATTCCTGTCCCTGCAATGTAGTAACTACAAACTTATTTTTAAATAAATAGAAAACTTGTTTTTCTAAGCTATTTTGTAGAGCCTCATGATTTATTATTTGCTTTTTAAAATTTTTTTGGCAACACATAACGCACTTAGTACATAATTTCAACAAGCTGTTAACCAAAGTGATCATATGGCAGATACCATTATGTAAATGCTTGTTCATTAGAGTTTCCAGTGCCCTGTGTATTTTGCAAATTGTGAAAATTGTCAATTAAAAGATTTTTGGGTGCCCAGATGTAATGTAATTCCAAAACAACCGAAGGATAAACAAAAGCTCATATGCCTTTTATGTGTACATTTAATAAAACAATTTTATTGATTTCTTACTATAAGCAAGTCACCGTGATGAGTGATAATTCAGTATTCAGATATATTTGTAAGAGAAGTTTCAGTGGAACACTGCATATTTTCTTAAAAATGTGCAATTTCTGGAGAAAGAGTGATGAAAGAATTTCACTTGTTAACTGCTTGTATTGAGGTTCATAAGGTTATTGCAGTTTTCCTAGAAATTTTGTCAGATTGGCATGCATTTTTACTAAGAATCCTAATTTTAGCATGAAGACTGAGATATGAAGACATAAGGCTATAATAATTCAAATAAAGCACATGGAGTGATTTGTAATTTTGTGTTAATTTCTCCCTAAGATGTTTTGTTAAAGTGATTTTGTATAAAATTTCTCAGTTGAGGAAGGCAGGTAAAAAAGTATCAGCAGACTTTCTTTCAGAAGTCTGCTGATAACACCTAGTATATACTTAGAAGAACCAGCTAAGAGAAATGAACTTTCAGCAACCACTCTTAAATGGTTTCTCTTTAATAATACCAACTTTATGACTGAAGATTCCCTGGTGTTTAATGGAAGTAAGATTAAAGACCAAAGCACAAAACCTTTGTTCCTTGCAATAAAATACTTCATGTTTGTAATCAGTGTGTGCTAAATTTAACACATTTACCACTTACTGATTACTCTTTGGGAAAAGAATGGTGGAAGATTCAATGAAATACCTTTCTGCCTAATTCGTTAGACATGCTGGCAGCACAGTGTAATGAAAAGAACTGATTTGGAGTTGGGAAATGGTAGTTTGACTTTAATTACTGACAGGAAGTAGAGGAACCCCAGCAAGGTCATAACTCTTAGAGCTTCATTTTCCTCATCTGTAAACTTTTTAAAGTTGATTAAATTATCTGTGAGATCTAATTCTGTTCAAATAGCCAGTGGTGATCATCTAATTTGTATATTGTCTTCTGTACTCATGGCTCAACTTTGGCTTTTATATTTAGTCCCTAAGAGTACAACATTTAATGTGTAGCTTGCAGACAAGCTGTGTCTTGCAGCCATGACCTGACTTGTAAGTGTGAGGCTTTTCTGAACCCTTAGAAGAAGGACTTTTGATGTTTTCACAACACAGTATTGTATTGCTGTAAATTGTGAATTGCTTTAAAAATACATGTTTACTAATAAAAAGTACAGGCACACTTTATTTTATTGTGCTTTGCATTATTGCTCTTAGCAGATAACTGGTAACCCTGCATCCGGCATGGCCGCTTTTCCAATAGCAACAATAACAAGTGATAACTTCATGTGTCACATTTTGGTCACTGCAGTATTTTCAGCTTTTAAAATATCCTATCTGTTCATGGTGATCTGTAATCATTTATGTTACCACTGTAATTGTTTTGTGGTTACCACGAACCTCACCCATATAAATAGTTAACGCATGTTCTGTGTGTTCTGACTGTTGCAATGAATGGCCATTCCCCCATCTCTCTCCCTCTTTTTGGGGCCTCCTCTAGTCACCCTACCATGGCCTCTACATGTTCAAGTGAATGGAAGAGTCTCAAGTCTCTCAGTTTAATCAAAAGGTAGCTGTGATTAAGCTTAAAAAGGCATCTCCGGAGAGAGATCCAAGATGGCTGATTAGCAGCAGCTCAGGATTGTAGTTCTCAGTGAAAACGCAGAGGGGTGGACACCACACTTCCAGACGAATTTTTGTTGCCCATGGACCAGGAGATTGCCAGCGGAGGAGCCCCACAAGTTGCCAGCACGACTCTTTTGTCCAGTGTGGAGTATATGAGACTGGGTGCCCTTTTAGTTGGTGTTTGGAGCTCCAGGGGGGCAGAGTTGCCCATTCAGCTGTTTAAAGGGGGGACTGAAGCAGGTAGCCAAACCGGGAGATTCCTGGGCAGAAAAGTGCCATGAATCTCAACACTGCTGTTTCAGCCAGTGCAGTGCCCCCACAAAAAAACAGCAATTGGAGGTTCTAAAGATTGAGAGTTTTACAGCACGCATAGCTGAACCCGGGAAGGTCCAGCTCTGTGGGGGAGGGGCGTCCACTGAAGGAAAACTAAGAAACAGAAAAAACTTCATCACCAACAAGCTGGACGTCCACTCAGAGACCCAGTCTGAAAGTCAGCAATTACAAAGATGACAGCTGGGTAAATCCACAAAGATGGGAAGAAACCAGCGCAAAAAGGCTGAAGATACCTGAAATCAGGGTGTCTCTCCTCCTACAGCGGGTCACAGCTCCTCATCAGCAACAGAACAAGGCCTGATGGAGACTCAGTGTGATGAATGGACAGATTCAGGCTTCAGAAGGTGGATAATAAGAAACTTCTGTAAGCTAAAAGAACATGTTCTAACCCAATGCAAAGAAACTAAGAACCTTGAAAAAAGATTTGATGAAAATGCTAACGAGAATAGATAATTTAGAGAGTAATATAGGTGAATTAGTAGAGCTGAAAAACAACATGAGAACTTTGCGAAGTATGTACAATTTTTTTTTTTGAGATGAAGTTTCGCTCTTGTTACCCAGGCTGGAGTGCAATGGTGCGATCTTGGCTCATCGCAACATCCGCCTCCGAGGTTCAGGCAATTCTACTGCCTCAGCCTCCCGAGTAGCTGGGATTACAGGCATGCACCACCATGCCCAGCTAAATTTTTTGTATTTTTAGTAGAGACGGGGTTTCACCATGTTTACCAGAATGGTCTCGATCTCTCGACCTCATGATCCACCCATCTCGGCCTCCCAAAGTGCTGGGATTACAGGCTTGAGCCACCACACCTGGCCAGTATGCACAATTTTTAACAGTCAAATTGATCAAGCAGAAGAAAGGATATCAGAGGTCAAAGACCAACTTAATAAAATAAAATGAGAAGACAAGCTTAGACAAAAAGGCTAAAAAGGAATGAGCAAAGTCTCCAAGAAATATGGAACAATGTGAAAAGACCTAATCTATGTTTGATAGAGGTACCTGAATTGGACAAAGAGAATGAATCCAAGCTGGAAAATATTCTTCAGGATATTATCCAGGAAAACTTTCCCAACCTCGCAAGGCAGGACAATACTCAACTCCAGGTAATACAGAAAGCACCACAAAGATATTCCTCAAGAAGAGCAACCCCAAGGCACATAATCGTTAGATTCACCAGGGTTGAAATGAAGGAGAAAAAACTAAGGGCAGCCAGAGAAAAAGGTCAGGTTACCTGCAAAGGAAAGCCTATGAGACCCACAGCAGATCTCTCAGCAGAAACCCTAAAAACCAGAAGAGAGTGGGGGCCAATATTCAACATCCTTAAAGAAAAGAACTTTCAACCCAGAATTTCATGTCCAGCCACACTAAGCTTCATAAGTGAAGGAAAAATAAATTTTTTTGCAAAAAAGCAAGTACTCAGATTTCATTACCACCAGGCCTACTTTACAAGAGCTTCTGAAAGAAGCATTACACATAGAAAACAGCAACTAGTATCAGCCATTCCAAAAACATAACAAAAGGTAAAGAGCATCACCATAAAGAATTTACATCAACTAATGGGCAAAACAGCCAGCCAGCATTAAATGGCAGTATTAAACTCATATATATATATCAATATCAATCCCAAATTTAAATGGACTAAATGCCCCAATCAAAAGAGAAAGACAGGCAAATCGGATAAAAAGCCAAAACCCATCGGTATGCTGCATCCAGACCAATCTCACATGGAAAGATACACAAAGACTCAAAGGGATGGAGGAAGATTTACCAACCAAATGGAGAGAAAAAAAAAATCAGGAGTTGAATTCTCCTCTCTGATAAAATAGACTTTAAAGCAACAAAGACCAAAAGAGACAAAGAAGGACATTACATAATGGTAAAAGGATCAATGCAGCAAGAAGAGCTAACGATACTAAATATATACGTACCCAATACAGGGGCACCCAGATACATAAGGCAAGTTCTTAGTGACTTACAGAGACTTAGACTCCCACATAATAATAGTGGGAGACTTTAACACTACATTGTCAATATTAGACAGATCAACGAGACAGAAAATTAACAAGGATATCCAGGACTTGAACTCAGACCTGAAATAAGTAAACTTAATAAACATTTACAGAATTCTCCATTCCAAATCCACAAAACATACATTTTTCTCAGTTTCACATCACACCTATTCTAATAGTGACCACAAAATTGGAAGTAAATCACTCCTCAGCAATTGCATAGCATTTCACAGGTTTAAATGAAATATTGGTTGGCTGCTTGTTTGTTATTTTCCTCCCTTATTCCTTCCTGTCTCCATTGTTAAGCACATTTATTGACATAAAAGAAGTTTTTAATACCCATTTTTAGACTGCATTCTAGCCTGGGCAATAGAGCAAGATTCCTGTTCTCTCTCCCTCTTTATCTTCCTCTTTCTTTCTCTCTTTTATTCTTTTCTTTCTTTCTCTCTTTTTCTTCCTTTTTTCTTAAAAGAAAAAAAAAAAAGCATTTCAAAAGCCAAGACAGGCTGAAAGCTAAAACCAGTTGTGTAAGCACAGGAAAAATTACTGAAGGAAGTTAAATATGCTACTTCAGTGAACAAAGCAAAACAACCTAATGGTTGATACAGAGAAAGTTGCAGTGGTCTGGATAGAAGATTAAATCAGCCACAACATTCGCTGAAGGCAAAACCTAACCCAGAGAAGCCCATTAAATCTCTTCAATTCTGTTAAGGTGAGAGAGGTAAGAAAGCTGCCCAGAAAAAAAAAAAAAAAAGAAGAAGAAAAGAAAAAGAAAAAGGTTGAAAGCTAGCAGAGGTTGGTTCATGATATTTTACTACATCTCTGTAGTAAAAGTGTAAGGGGGTGCTGGTGAAGAAGCAAGTTATCCAGATGATTTAGATAATATCATTGATGAAAATCTGCACAAATTTTCGATACAGATTACACTTTCTTATATTGGTAGAAGGAACAATCTAGGACTTTTCATGGCTAGAGAGAAGTGAATGCCTAGCTTCAAAGGACAGGCTAACTCATTGGGGCTAACGTAGTTGGTGTTAAGATGAAGCCACTGCTTCTTTACCATTCCAAAAATTCTAGGGCCCTTAAAAATTGTAGTAAATCTACCCTACCATGCTCTATCAATGGAACAACAAAGCCTGCATGACAGCACATCTGTTTACAGCATGGTTTACTGAAGATTTTAAGCCCATTGTTAAGACTGACTTTTCAGAAAGGAAAAAAAAAAAAGATTTCTTTGAAAATACTGCTGCTTGTTGACAACTTGGTAACCCAAGAACTTTGTTCAGAATGTATGAGGTGATTAGTGTTTTCATGCCTGCTAATTCAATGTCCGTTCTGCACCTCACAGTTCAAGGAGTAAGTTTGATATTTAAGTTTTGTTATTTAAGAAATACATGTTGTAAGGTTATAACTTCCAGAGATTCCTCTGAGGAATCTGGTCAAAGTACACTGAAACCCTTCTGGAAATGATTCATCATTCTAGATGCCATTAAGAACATTCTTGATTCACTGGAGATCAAAATATCAACATTAACAGGAATTTGGAAGAAGTTGATTGCAGCCTTCATGGACAATTCTAAGGGTTCAATAATTCAGTGGAGGAAGTCACTGCAGATATCATGGAAATAGCTCAAGAACTAGAATTGGAAGTGGAGCCTAAAGATGTGACTGAATTTCTCCTATCTCTTGATAAAACTTGAATGGACGAGGAATTGCTTCTTATGAATGAACAAAGAAAATGGTTTGCTGGGATTAAATCTACTCTTGGAGAAGATGCTGTGAACATTGTTGAAATGACAGCAAAGAACTTAAATACATAAATTTAGGTAATAAATCAGCAGCTGTTTGAGAGGATTGACTCCAGTTTTGAAAGTTCTGTGGGTAAAATGCTATCACAAAGCATTGCATGCTACAAAGAAATCTTTTGTGAAAGGAAGATTCCAATGGATGCAGCATATTTCAGTGTTATCTTAAGAAATTGACACAGCCACCCCAACCTTCAGCAACCAACACCCTGATCAGTCAGCAGGCATCAATATTGGGGTGAGACCCTACACCAGCCAAAAGATTCTGACTTTCTGAAGACTCAGATGATCATTAGCATTTCCTAGCAATAATGTATTTTTAAACTAAAGTATGTACATTGTTTTAAAGACATAATTCTGTTTCACATGTAACAGACCAACAGTATGGTGTAAACATAATTTTATATGCACTAG